AAAACACCAAGGGCAAGTGGGGTAGTGAACGGTATACGCAGGTATAAACCGTATACCCACTTTTATTTTCAGTGGGCATTGCATATACTTACTTCTTAATCCCTATTGATGCATATCAAAGTGGTGTAGTGGAGGTATACGACTTATCAATTATGTGGTACAATAGAGAAATCATGCACAAAGTAGCCTACACAATCACAAAGCACGTGAAATATATTCACACGTGAGCCCCACACATAGGCTTGTTTCAGCGGAATATAATCTGCAGGCAGCAAGAGTGTGCAGCTCTCAACAGGTTTTAGAATGGAGCAGCTCACAGAAGAATGACATCGGTAGCCGGTAGGGTAAGAAAGACGTTTCAATTTATGATATCTACCAGTAAATGCTAACTAAGGCAAACACGGGCATGCAAACCAGGTATTGAAAAAGTTTAGTCCGACGTGTTGGTTAGTAGGCTATTTGTGATATGCAATTGTCATCATGCACTGTTTGCATCAGGGGCGTAGACATGGATGGGCCTGGGAGGACACTGACCCACCCACTGGGGAGTCAGACCCTGACAGGCCCTGACAGGCCCACCCAATCAGATTGATGTGGTTTAAGCATTGTTGTGGACTTAGACCATCATATTTTTGTAAAATAAATAAAAAAAGTGATTTTGAGAGTGAAAATCTGAAATATCTATAGGAAAACGCATAAAAAACCATAGGAAACAGGAATTTTCACACAGGATGCCTTTCCTTTGCTGGGCAGGCCGTTTCTGATTTTTTTGTGCAAATGTGAGTATACCCACCTCTCCAGGCACCACTAAACCACTGCATAGGGTCGATGGAAAGACAGCAGTCACACACAGCATGATATTAAAGGACAAGCAGTCCATTCACTCTGACATAATAAGCCAGTAGGTCCTAATCATAAGAATACAAAACCACAACCATTAAGCATTTCCCAATCGAAATGTACAACTATTACTTCCCAATGCAAAAAACATTTCACGTTTAGCACACAAAGTAACCACTGACCTGAAGTATCTACTTTGCAGATATGAAACAAACAGACAATCATAATATCAGTAAAAAATATCAACTTCCAAGTTTATGCTTAAAAACCAACTTAATAAGAGTTTTATTTGACTCAATGATCCAGGACGTACACTAAGGCATTTTTTTGTATTGTTATTTTTATTTTTTAATTAGGGGCATTGTTGGCTGAATAAATGGATGCAGTTCAATGCATTATTAATATAATTCACCAATACATTTCTTGGTAGTCCAAAATATTGCAAACAGGTTGTAAATCACAGCTGGCCTGGTACATTGTTTGCTGCCACCATTTGGGATGCACTGTTTCAATGACTCAATATTCTGGACAAAAACAGACAAATGTACTGCAACTAAGACTGGGAATGTCAATACAATCAAACTAACAAGGGCAATGATCACAAGTCAGTCATAACATGGCTAATAGGCTAGCATATCTATTTACAGTTGAAGTCGGAAGTTTACATACACCTTAGCCAAATACATTTAAACTCAGCTTTTCACAATTCCTGACATTTAATCCTAGTAAAAATTCCCGGTCTTAGGTCATTTAGGATCACCACTTTATTTTAAGAATGTGAAATGTCAGAATAATAGTAGAGAGAATTATTTATTTCAGCTTTTATTTATTTCATCACATTCCCAGTGGGTCAGAAGTTTACATACACTCAATTAGTATTTGGTAGCATTGCCTTTAAATTGTTTAACTTGGGTCAAACGTTTTGGGTAGCCTTCCACAAGCTTCCCACAACAAGTTGGGTGAATTTTGGCCCATTCCTCCTGACAGTTCTGCCCACAAATGTTCTATAGGAAAGAGGTCAGGGCTTTTTGATGGCCACTCCAATACCTTGACTTTGTGGTCCTTAAGCCATTTTGCCACAACTTTGGAAGTATGCTTGGGGTCATTGTCCATTTGGAAGACCCATTTGCGACCAAGCTTTAACTTCCTGACTGATGTTTTGAGATGTTGCTTCAATATATCCACATAATTTTCCTTCCTCATGATGCCATCTATTTTGTGAAGTACACCAGTCCCTCCTGCAGCAAAGCACCCCCACAGCATGATGCTGCCACCCCCGTGCTTCAAGGTTGGGATGGTGTTCTTCGGCTTGCAAGCAACCCCCTTTTTCCTCCAAACATAACGATGGTCATTATGGCCAAACAGTTCTATTTTTGTTTCATCAGACCAGAGGACATTTCTCCAAAAAGTACAATCTTTGTCCCCATGTGCAGTTGCAAACCGTAGTCTGGCTTTTCTATGGTGGTTTTAGAGCAGTGGCTTCTTCCTTGCTGAGCAGCCTTTCGGGTTATGTCGAAATAGGACTCGTTTTACTGTGGATATTGATACTTTTGTACCTGTTTCCTCCAGCATCTTCACAAGGTCCTTTGCTGTTGTTCTGGGATTTATTTACACTTTTCGCACCAAAGTACGTTCATCTCAAGGAGACAGAACGCGTCTCCTTCCTGAGCGGTATGATGGCTGCGTGGTCCCATGGTGTTTATACTTGCTTACTATTGTTTGTACAGATGAACGTGGTACCTTCAGGCATTTGGAAATTGCTCCCAAGGATGAACCAGACTTGTGGAGATCTACAATTCTTTTCTGAGGTTTCTTTTGATTTTCCCATGATGTCAAGCAAAGAGGCACTGAGTTTGAAGGTAGTTCTTGAAATACATCCACAGGTACACCTCCAATTAACTCAAATGATGTCAAATAGCCTATCAGAAGCTTCTAAAGCCATGACATCATTTTCTGGAATTTTCCAAGCTGTTTAAATGCACACTCAACTTAGTGTATGTTAACTTCTGACCCACTGGAATTGTGATACAGTGAATTATAAGTGAAATAATCTGTCCGTAAACAATTGTTGGAAAAATTGCTTGTGTCATGCACAAAGTAGATGTCCAAACCGACTTGCCAAAACTATAGTTTGTTAACAAGAAATGTGTGGAGTTGTTGAAAAACTAGTTTTAATGACTCCAACCTAAGTGTATGTAAACTTCCGACTTCAACTGTATATAGATGCACTGGGGCTTTAGTGGGCAGATAGTCTAGATAGAACACTGCACTCAAATACACCAATCTAAACATACTCTCTTAAGAGCAACATCTTACTCTGTTCTTCTCACATTACATAAAGACACATTTTCAGAACCCCAGTGTCAACCAAATAGGCTGCAATAAACATATTTAAACAGTTATCAATCAAAATTATTACATTATCAAACAAAATGATATTTCAAATCATTACAAATGATTTAAAAGTATAAAATAAAACGATGAGTTACTGCAATTAGGCCCTAATTTCAAATTCAGACTGGGTTATAGCACCATGCACATTATATTACTATATTTGATCATTGAGATTTATATGAACTAATTGTAATTATAATCAGTCAATGAGGGAATAAAAATGTTGAGGAGCTCACCCAGTATGACAGTGATGGAGAGGAAATGAATTATATCTATCTGGAGTGGCATTACTGTGGCACACAATGAAAAACCTGACAAATCTCTCCTTCTCCCTCTGTCTCTCTCTGTCTGGTGATCTCTCTATCTTGTTGTGTCAATTTGTAGCATATATTGATGGATCTAAAGATTGTTAGCTATACCTACAAGGCCAGTAATTGCCAACAGGATCAATATCATACTGTGTGCCTATAGCTGCCCTGTACACAGACTGTAGGCCAGTCCAATTGACTCACTGAGTCTGGCTGAAAACAGAAATGTAGTGAGATGTTTTGCACACTCCACTAAGGAAGTCCAGAGAGGACCTATGAATAAAACAATTATTCCTACTTTATGTTGAGATCACGACTTATTTATCTCATGATCACAAGTTGTTTTGAGTTGTTTTGTTGACATCAAAAGACAATTTTCTCATGATTATTACATAACAAAAGTTGTTTTGTCGAGATCACGAGATAAACAAACATACAAACATACATGCAAACATATTACATTGTGTTAGCATGTGTTTAATATTAGATGTCGAAGTGTGTCTTTAAAAGTTTCAATGAGTAATGTCAGATCGATTTTTGTGGATTTTTTATCCATGTTCTGGGGCCAGGACTAAAATAGCTAAAGGTCATTACTAACATCCACTACCGTTGTGCAAGACACTCAGCCGCTCCACTGCCGCTGACCCTATGCTGCGTCCACCATTTTGGTGTGTGTGTGTGTGTGTGTGTATGGTACCTTAATGTCTATGGTGTGGTCCTGCCGTCCCGGAGGTGTTGGAATAACATACGGGAAACACTATTTTCACCATTTTGGTGTGTGTGTGTGTGTGTGTGTATGGTCCCTTAATGTCTATGGGTGGTCATGCCGTTCCGGAGGTGTTGGAATAACATACGGGAAACACTCTTTTCACCATTTTGGTGTGTGTGTGTGTGTGTGTGTGTATGGTCCCTTAATGTCTATGGTGTGGTCCTGCCGTCCCGGAGGTGTTGGAATAACATACGGGAAACACTATTTTCACGCCACTTCGATACCGAAGTGACTTTTTCGCAGCAGGTTAGGATAATTAATGTAGCAGGTTAGTAGACTGAGGTTAGGTTAGGAAAGGGTTAGGTTTTAGCAAAAATGCTCTCCTAACCTGCTACGAAAATCCATTTGTATCTAAGTGGCATGCAAATAGTGTCCCAATAACATACAGCAATTTCTGATTTGGAAGCCATCTATAACCACTACAGTTTTCCATCCATAACATAATTGTATTGAAACGTGTACCACTATTTCTATTAATAGCATCATTATCCTCCTCATCATCTATGATCAGTATTAGTTTCACAGTTACAATAATTTCTGATACCACCAAATTGTCTAGCCCACTGTATCTCCTATTCTTTCAATAATCTCTTTCCAACTTCTCTCCTCCCTTCCACCGCCCGCGCTCTCTCACGTTGGCACATTATACTATTCTCAGAGAGCGGGTTTAGCAGCAGTCAGATGGTGGGATGCTTCGGAGAGAAGCGATCCGTTCGGTCCATTATCGCGAAAGAAAAGGGGGAGGTGATAGAGGAAGAAGAGACATGGCATCTAAAGACATAACTGCCTCTTGTTTCGTCAGTGTGAGCAGGGATATTACAGGTAGGGAGAAATATCAACATTATTCCTATTCCCATTATCTCGATCATCATCATCTGTAACGTGCACGGATTCTGGCTTTCCCAGTCTGCGACTGAACAGGCGCATTGGAGGTTTATAAGCAACAACTCTTTCATATCTGCTAGTGCCACCAAGCTTTGTGTGTCATTTTTTATTTGTCATCATCTAGGCTAAACGTGCACTGCATTATTCGATCATTTAAAGCTAGAAAATGCTGTAAAGCAAAGACATCCTGCTTGCACAGGATTTACCATAAAAGCACAGCAGGCTGATCATGTAAAATCCCCAGGCCTAGGACATAGGAAAAGGAGCGTTTTGAAAATCATCGTGTGCATCACGCGTGGGTTTAATCGCTCATGATGTGATCTGCATTCAGAAATGCATGCCAGGTTGTAAGAATAGGAATTGTTACCCTCTCAGTGTGTTGGCAGTGAGCATGGTCTTTCTTTGTCTGCAGTGTGTGTGTGTGTGTGTGTGACAGACAGAGAGCAGAGATAGAGAGAGTGTGTGTGTGAGTGAGTGAGTGAGTGATTGATTGAGAATGAAAGATAGCAAGTGGGAGCAGTATGCATTTTCTTGCCAACAATTTGCATGTATTCTTCACTTTCCTTTATTGAACGAGCCAGACATGGACACTGTATCCTACACTTCTCTTTCTGAGAATTCTCACATGATGAGGCTGCCAGTGAGTTGACACAAGCTTACCTCTCACAAACTCACACCATCAGGCCACACACACATGCTCACACACACTCACACCTACATCACACACATGCTCACACACACACACTTAGGCCTACCTACCTACCTACCTACCTACCTACCTACCTACCTACCTACCTACCTACCTACCTACCTACCTACCTACCTACCTACCTACCTACCTACCTACACACACGTATTCTCTCACCCTCTAACCAACACCACACACACATGCTCACATTTGCAGGGAGTCTCTGCTGAGATAATTATTCCTAATGGTTCTATTAATCACACTGTGATAATTAATCCAGTGGAATCCCTGCCTTTAAATCCACTCACCTACCTGCCAGCCACTTCCCTCTGCCTCAGATATACAGCTATATAGCATCAGACTCCAGGTGGCCAGAGCCAAAATACCATCTCTGTTTAAACAGTCATCATGGTGATCATCTTCATCACCATCAGAACATTACTCTAACGGTCCTGTCAGAACAATCAGACTCAGCAGCATTCTCTTATTTGACCATGCATTAGTCACAGGTGAAGTACAGCACATTCAGTGCTTTGGATGGTTGGTTATCCATAATCTAATTCCTTTCACCATCTCACCCTCTCCTCCTATCCTCCTCTTTAGCCTCGCCCCTGTCTCTCTGATGGTGACTCTCTATGTCAGTGTGCCTGTCTGTCTGTGAGGGGATGTCCTCAGGCCCAGCCAGGTTATCTGCAGGTGTCTGGCAGGTGTGGGGGGGGGGGGGGGGGGAGTCACACCTCTGACTGGGATTCTATGTGACAAGAATGCCTTGGTGACTGAGACTCACTTGAGCAGAGAGGAGCCATGTGGTTGTTGGTAGTAGTCATATTGTGCACATAAGGTTGTTTGTGTGGGAAGAAAAAATTGTCTGGCAATGTATTTTGAATCTCATTAATAACAGAATGAATGCGATTGCAGGTTTTTGCCTATGAAACACACAATTAATAATAACAAGATGTTTGTTGGTTTATTTGCATTATTAGATGAGCAATAATGAAAAGACAAAAGCCCTTGTAATTCATAATAAAATACAATTAACAGATAATAATGGAACACATACAACAACAAACAGAAACAGAAAAACAGGAGAGAAAAAAACAGGCAGTGTTTTGTCTTGATCCACTCTCACCAGCCTCAAGTACTGTATTCAAGCTCTGGTTTCCATATTCTAAAAATATGCTCTCTATTTTATGGCTTCATTCTGTCCTCGCTCACATATCCTTGTTTTATTGGGCAATTTCTGTGCGCCTACCTTGGAAAACAATACTGTTATTTACGTTTTAGTGAAAGATCCAACAGTTTTGGAGACTCAAGGGTTTTATCCTCTGATTATCTTCCTCTGTTTATGAAATGCCAATATGTACGTTTTAAATGACACGGTTGGTCTGTCTTCAGTTGTATGGCGAAAGGGCTGTGCACTCAAAGGTCAAGCTTATCTCTCTCACAGTTCTGATGTACTGTGTACTTGGTTGATATGTGTGATTGTGTGTGTGAAATGTTTGCTTTGTGTGTTGTGTGTATTAGTGCGTATCTGACCTGGGATGTTTTTCTATTTACAGAGAGTATCAGGAAGATTGTTGACAAGTCCTCTATCAAGTTTATACGCGGCATTAAGCTTGACACCAAAAATGGCAAGTCAGAGGACCGGATACTGGTGAGTACTGTTTCATCTGAATAACTTCCATTGGTGAAAACAACATTTGCTATATTGATGTGCTGGCTGTGGAGTGGGTGGTATTCCCACAGATCATTGTTGATCTATTGATATAGAGGAGTCCTCCAGGCCATCCACACACAGTACTACTCCGTCCCTCACTACGTCAATACAAGTCTGATGCAGGGGAGGGATGCTCCATAAGACATTGGATGGAAACCTGATGGTTGGTTTAGGAGAGACATGATGCAACATAGGCAGTATTGAAGTGCAATTAATCACTATGGTCAGTTACAGACTGAGCACAAGCTATGAATATATTGAGTTGATATGCTGCTGCTTCCCCATACCGGCTGTGCCTGTGTGGGCATTGGAGTGGGACAATGTAGGACAGAGAGGTCTGTAAGAGCATCAGCTTGGGGAGGGATCTGTTTAAGGCTCTGTCTCTGTGAGACCCTGGTGGTGGAGGCAGTGCCAGGTGCGGGCGGATCTCTGCCTTTGATACTGGGGTGCTTTCATCAGAGAATATGGGGCAAAGATGTGAAATCTTCAATAGAGGAGCTGCAGCCCTGCCAGCTTATATGACTAAATCTGGGCCAGTGAGCTCTTAAGTGTATAGATCCCAACCTATGTAAGTACAGCAAATAGGCAAAAGTATAAGAAATAGACCGACCATTTAACTGAGACTGTACTAACAATTCCACATAAAACTGCATTGAAATGTTTTCATGTTTTTGTGCTCCTGAAAAACTACCAGCTGATGAGGCAATGGGCTCACACCCCCAGCTGGGCAGACTAGGTCTTGGCAGGGAGTCGTTCCCTCGATGACTGCTTAATGATTCATTATAGGGCGAGTTGGAAGAGTTTTGCAATGTGCACCCTTTGATATTCAGGGCTATGTCTATCTGACAGGACTATGTTATCCATTAAATCCTTGCTGTCCAATCTCTTTCTGCTAAATGATTCCTTTTTTACTCTGAACTAGAGTAGGGTATCTATCTGGAATTCTAGTCTCTGTGGGGCTTAGGATAAGGCTGAGGAGAGGGCTAGGATTTAAGGGGTCAAGGTAAAGCTTGGGGAAGGGTTTGGGTTAAGAGTCGGGCTTGCTGATAAAGCCTGGGCTAGGGTTAATGTTTTAAGGCAGGTTCAAGTTCAGGCTGGTAGGTTCTTCTATCATTGTTCTTCTTCCTCTCCCGTCAGGTTTGCTTGAGGCCATGTCATGGTCAATGTACCGTATATTACGCTTTGGTTTCCTTGCTTGTGAATTATTTAACCAGGTACTGGAAGTACCTTGTTCATGTATAACAGTTGCCTTACCCCCTTATCAATCCAATAAGAAAAGACAGGCGTCTCTGCTCCAAAAACAGACACATAAAACAGACACAGAATTATTTGATGTGTGCGGTGTGTCTCTTTGATCTGGAAGACTTTGATAAGGACTTCTCTCCCGGGAGGACTGTCTCCCCTTCTCTCCTGCACCATCAGCATGATTTACTTCTATATACTCATATGGTACAGTACTCACACACTGTCTCCACTGCCACCCCCTAACCAGTATACCCCCCCTCCCAACTCATCACGTTAATGTGATACAATCCACACGTTTTAATCAACTCCTTCAGACACAGTCTTTGAAGTGGTGGAATGCAGGAGTCTCTCTTGCTCTCTCTTCTCTCTCTCTCTGTAACTTCAGATACTCTCGTTGCGGTTTTTTGTTGTTGTGTGTGGGTGCTGTGGCTGCCGGCAAGTGTTTGGCTCTGATGGGTAGAACCAAGCACCTCTCTCCCGAAATGCAACAGAGAGGGAGAGCCACAATTCAATTACTGCATTTCATTAAGAGGGCATACTGTACTAGCTAGTGTTTCTAGAGAGAGAACGAATGAGAGAGATAGAGAGGCAGAGAAAGATAGCCAGAGAGAGAAAGGCAGAAGAGAGGAAGGAGCAAATGATCAGGAGCGAAGGAGCAGAAAAAGAGCAGAGGACGAGAGTCAGAGAGAGGGAAGGAGAGTAACTGAAAAATATTTGCTGTTTGTATATCTGGTATAAACGTATAAACTGTGCTGTAGCAATATTTACAAAAGGTTCTTCACTCTCCTCTAAAAGATGGAGACAGGAGCATGATAATAAGGTATATAGAGATTGTGTTTGTAGCTCAAGGTGGTTGCATGTGTGTGCGTATGTATACAGTACACGTGTGTGTGTGTGTGTGTGTGTGTGTGTGCGCGCATGCGTGCAGACGGGTGTATGTGGGTGCTTTTAAATCACTTCCCTATGGAATTATTATTGTTGTAATCATATCTATAAACCATGTTAATGCACATCCTGAGAATGCAATCATCCCCAGTATACAGCATAGCCCATCAAAGCATGATGCTGTGGCAGAAAAGATTCCTGCCCAGATCAATAGGTGAATACAGAGAGTACTCATCATTTCACTCTCTCCATTACCATGGCAACCCATGAGAGAATTGGGTGCCCGTAGTGAGTCTTGAATGTGCGGTGAACTTTTGCTCAGTATGGATGTAATTTGTTCATGTTTCTCCATCTGACTCAGGTCCTCACAACATGGAGACTCTATTTCCTGACAGCCAAGGTTCCAACAAAGGTAGCCATCATGATCTCTATGTTATTAGGGACCTTTTACCATACACCAAACTCTCAGCATTATGTTAACACGTGTATGTTATTACAGATAGAGGTGACGTTTAACTTCTTGGAGATCCGAGCCATGAACAGTCACCCAGAGTTTCAGGTGAGTAACATATGCCAGATTAACTTTTTTGGTTTTGAATGGCCATGTTAGTGCATCGTCCCTGTGGCCTCTTTTATTAGAACTGATTAGTTGTCTGAACAGATTTATAATGGAGTAGGCCTATGTAGAGTTGAAGTCGGAAGTTTACATACACCTTAGCCAAATACATTTAAACTCAGTTTTTCACAATTCCTGACATTTAATCCTAGTAAAAATGCCCTGTTTTAGGTCAGTTAGGATCACCACTTTATTTTAAGAATGTGAAATGTCAGAATAATAGTAGAGAGAATGATTTATTTCAGCTTTTATTTCTTTCATCACATTCCCAGTGGGTCAGAAGTTTACATACACTCAATTAGTATTTGGTAGCATTGCCTTTAAATTGTTTAACTTGGGTCAAACGTTTTGGTTAGCCTTCAACAAGCTTCCCACAATAAGTTGGGTGAATTTTGGCCCATTCCTCCTGACAGAGCTGGTGTAACTGAATCAGGTTTGTAGGCCTCCTTGCTCGCACACACTTTTTCTGTTCTGCCCACACATTTTCTATAGGATTGAGGTCAGCGCTTTGTGATGGCCACTCCGATACCTTGACTTTGTTGTCCTTAAGCCATATTGCCACAACTTTGGAAGTATGCTTGGGGTCATTGTCCATTTGGAAGACCCATTTGCAACCAAGCTTTAACTTCCTGACTGATGTCTTGAGATGTTGCTTCAATATATCCACATAATTTTCCTTCCTCATGATGCCATCTATTTTATGAAGTGCACCAGTCCCACCTGCAGCAAAGCACCCCCACAACATGTTGCTGCCACCCCCGTGCTTCAAGGTTGGGATGGTGTTCTTCGGCTTGCAAGCAACCCCCTTTTTCCTCCAAACATAACGATGGTCATTATGGCCAAACAGTTCTATTTTTGTTTAATCAGACCAGAGGACATTTCTCCAAAAAGTACGATCTTTGTCCCCATGTGCAGTTGCAAACCGTAGTCTGGCTTTTTTATGGCGGTTTTGGAGCAGTGGCTTCTTCCTTGCTGAGCGGCCTTTCAGGTTATGTCGATATAGGACTCGTTTTACTGTGGATATAGATACTTTTGTACCTGTTTCCTCCAGCATCTTCATAAGGTCCTTTGCTGTTGTTCTGAGATTGATTTGCACTTTTCGCACCAAAGTACGTTCATCTCTAGGAGACAGAAAACATCTCCTTCCTGAGCGGTATGACGGCTGCGTGGTCCCATGGTGTTTATACTTGCTTACTATTGTTTGTACAGATGAACGTGGTACCTTCAGGCATTTGGAAATTGCTCCCAAGGATGAACCAGACTTGTGGAGGTCAAATTGTTTTTTGCTGAGGTCTTGGCTGATTTATTTTGATTTTCCCATGATGTCAAGCAAAGAGGCACTGAGTTTGAAGGTAGGCCTTGAAATACATCCACAGGTACACCTCCAATTGACTCAAATGATGTCAATTAGCCTATCAGAAACTTCTAAAGCCATGACATAATTTCCTGGAATTTTCCAAGCTGTTTAAAGGCACAGTCAACTTAGTGTATGTAAACTTCTGACCCACTGGAATTGTGATACGGTGAATTATAAGTGAAATAATCCGTCTGTAAACAATTGTTTGAAAAATTACTTGTGTCATGCACAAAGTAGATGTCCTAACCGACTTGCCAAAACTATAGTTTGTTAACAAGACATTTGTGGAGTGGTTGAAAAACGAGTTTTAATGACTCCAACCTAAGTGTATGTAAACTTCCAACTTCAACTGTAAGTACAGCTACAGTAAGTAAGTACAGCTACAGCAATTCTGTCTCTGCTTAGATATTTACTGCAATTAACTGTTAGTTATCTGGCATCATGCCGAAAGTCACTGCTCCGTCTATCACTATTCATTGAAACTATGTTGTTGTTGTTTTCCTATGCAGGTCGTCATAGACTTGGACAAGTCCACTTATTCTCTGCGGCTTCAGTCACGTGACCACCTCAGTCATGTGGTCAGCCACGTTAACTTTGCCCTGTCCAGAATATTCAACAACTCTGTTTTCTCGTAAGTGTCCATTTTCAGGCAGCATAGACTCCTGTACCAGACAGCTTTGAAACCCAGCAAATGATAAGTAATGTTAGCTATTATGCCCCTTCTGAAACTCAAACCTCCTTTGTCCCCTCTCTCTCTCAGTCCCTCCATCTGTCATTCAGACAGTGACCTTTCTGAGGGAAGCAGGAAGTACTCCCCCAGCTCAGAGACGTCTGTGGAAACCCAGAGGGCCTGTGGTAAGAGACGCACAGACAGGCAGGCAGGCAGGCAGACAGACGGACACAGATATACAAACTGCATAAGAGACTAGATTCTAGTTGATGATAGACAGGAAATTGTTGAGTAACTTGAAACGAGAGGCTGAAAGCAGGTCCTCATTAAGAGACTAATAGATAGAGAAACCCACTGCACTGCGTACAGTACATATTTTAAAGTTAATTCTTTACTTTTTACACAGACATTGTAAACATAGGGTAAATGCACTGCTGTCATCTCTATTTTATCTCTCTCATCGAAACAAACACCTGCTCTGTACCCATGCCCTCTAGTGGCCTCATGGGTGGAATGTTATTAATACTTTTCATAATTTAATAATGAATCAACATAATTGTATCCAGTGTTTCTATGTCAAACGGTTTTGTTATATTTCAAGTCAGTCTTCTGTGATGTACAGTATATAAAGTGTGATATTGGGATGCAAACTCAAAATTGAGTACATTTCAACTCTATATCTGACATGGTACAGGTGTCTTCTTTTTTTAAGCCCATAACCATGTGTGTGAGGTGTATACTTTTGTTTCAAAGTAGATTTGTTTAAGACTACCAAGAAACACTCTGTGTGACCCTGATTTATATATTTCTTAATTCCATTCTTATACTTTTAGATTTGTGTGTATTGTTGTGAATTGTTAGATTCTACTGCACTGTTGGAGCTAGGAACACAAGCATTTCACTACACCCGCAATAACATCTGCTAAATATGTGTATGTGACCAATCAAATTCGATTTGATTTAGCCCAATGCAGTAAAAGGTTAAAACCCTCCTCTCTCACCATCATCTATTTTTCTTCCTCACTGTCCGTCTCAGGAGGGTTTTCCGAGACCTACGCTGCCCTGTGTGACTACAATGGAATCAGCTGCAAGGAGGAAGTGCAGTGGGTAAGAGCTATGGGAGTAGACCTGTTGTGTGTTAGTGCACTGGACTGTTAAAGTGCTTTCAGAAAGTATTCATACCACTTGACTTATTCCACATTTTGTTGTGTTACAGCCTGAATTCAAAATGGATTAATATGATTTTTTTCACCCATCTACACACAATACCCTATAATGACAAAGTGAAAACAATTTTTGTAAATGTTTGCACATTTATTGAAAATTAAATACATAAATATCTCATTTACATAAGTATTCACACTTCTGAGTCAATATATGTTAGAATCACCTTTGGCAGCAATTACAGCTGTGAGTCTTTCTAGGTAAGTCTCTAACAGCTTTGCACACCTGGATTGTACAATATTTACACATTATTCTTTTAAAAAGTCTTCAAGTTGATCATTGCTAGATAGCCATTTTCAAGTCTTGCATTAGATTTTCAAGCCGATTTAAGTAAAAACTGTAACTCGGCCGCTCAGGAATATTCAATGTCGTCTTGGTAAGCTACTCCAGTATATATTTGACCTTGTGTTTTAGGTTGTTGTCCTGCTGAAAGGTGAATTTGTCTCCCAGTGAAAGCAGACTGAACCAGGTTTTCCTCTAGGATTTTGCCTGTGCTTAGCTCAATTCCGTTTCTTTTTATCCTAAAAAAACGATCTAGTCCTTTCTGATGACAAGCATAACCATAACATGTGCAGCCACCACCATGCTTAAAAAAGTGGTACTCAGTGATGGTTGTGTTGGATTTGCCCCAAACATAACACTTTGTATTCAGGACATAAAGTTAATTACTTTAGAGCCTTATTGCAAACAGGATGCATGTTTTCAGTTTTCTCCTATCACAGCCATTAAACTCTGTAATTTAAAGTCATCATTGGTTTCATGGTGAAATCCCAGAGCGGTTTCCTTCCTCTCCGGCAACTGAGTTAGGAAGGATGCCTGTATCTTTGTAGTTAATGGGTGTATTGATACACCATCCAAAGTGTAATGAAAACTTCACCATGCTCAAAGGGATATTCAATGTCTGCTTTTTTTTTTACCCATCTCCCAATAGGTGCCCTTCTTTGCGAGGCATTGGAAAACCTCCCTGATCTTTGTGATTCAATCTGTGTTTGAAATCCACTGCTAGACTGAGGGACCTTACAGATAATTGTATGTTTGGGGTACAGAGATGAGGTAGTCATTCAAAAATCATGTTAAAAACTATTATTGCACACAGAATAAGTCCATGCAACCTATTATGTGATTTAACCTATTATGTGATTTGTTAAGCACATTTTTACTCCTGAACTTATTTAGGCTTGCCGTAACAAAGGGGTTGAATACTTATTAACTCAAGACGTTTCAGCTTTCCATTTTTGATTAATTTGTTAAGATTTATAATCACATAATTCCACTTTGACATTATGGGGTATTTTGTGTAGGCCAGTGACACAACATCTCAATGTAATCCCTTTTTAATTCAGGCTCTAACACAACAAAATTTGGAAAAAGCTAAGGGGTGTGTATACTTTCGGAAGGCACTGCACTTTCAAATGAGGGGTCATATACTATAGCAAGTGGACTCATGGGTAATCTTGCTCCTAGGATGTGGACACTATCTATCACTCTCAAGACAACAGGGAGTTTAATCTAGTGGACTTCAGCCACCTGGAGAGCAGGTGAGAGAAGGGGAGAGGGAGAGAAAGAAAGAGAGCAGACGCTATCAAATTGATGCTGCTGCAGCCTAAATAAATCCAGTTGCTAAATTGATATCAAGGGTATTATGAAATGTACCTGTTTCGATTCAGTTATTGTTGTGTGTTTGACAGGGACTTGGCAGTGATTGTGGCCTCAATGGCATACAACACCTGGTTCACCAAACTATACTGTAAGGACCTACGCATAGTAAGTATCCTTCTGTCTGTCTCTCCTTGTGTTTCAATGGTAATTGATATGCAGAAGTTATAAGCATGTAATGACATGAGATCATTTTCATTTCAGGGGTCAGAGGTCAGTGAGCAGGTTCTGCACACACTCAGTAAGTCCTCCAGTCTGGCAGAGCTCACACTGGAGAATGCTGGTCTCAAATCGTGAGTTTTCCTTTCTTCACAAAACTCTCCTACTCTTTTTTTTATGAATAAAAAGGGTATTAGAACTATAGAAATAGTGTTTGTTTGTGTCATTGTGTCTATGTCCAAATATGTTTACTGTATACTGTGTATGTTGCAGTGACTTTGCGCAGAAGCTGTCAGTTGCGCTCTCAGAGAATCCTGCTTCTGTCATCCACTCTCTGAACTTGGCCCACAACACGCTGGACAACCAAGGTACCAAGCAGATGCCTTATTTCCTGTTAGTCTCACACACTTGCCTATTTCTGTTTTAGTGACATCTCTCCTCCCTCTGTCTCTCTCCTTTGGTGTAGGTGTGTCTAACCTCATCCAGCAGGTGTGTCGTCTCAGCAAAGGACTGCGTCTCCTCAACCTCTCCAAGACCTCCCTCAACTCCAGAGGTTTGGACTGCTTCATCTCTCCATCCTTCCATCTGTCAATCTCTCTACCAGCCCCACCCAGAGAGAAGGCCCCACCTTCCTGTCCTCCTCCATGTTACAGAAGCATCCTCATCCCCTCAGCGACCCTGACATTAATACAGGGCAGTAACTCAGCAGACGGGGACAGTCAGCTGGATAATCAGTTAATGAACACTTTCAACTGCGTTTGAGTTTAATGAAGCTGCAACAGCTGATTGAACAGGCCACTAAGCCATGCATGCTAGGTGATATAAACCTCTGTACCTCCTGTAAGTCCCCCCTGAACAGCTCAGTGTGTTGTCCTGTTTTGTGTCTGCTATACAACAGCTTCAAGATTGACGATGTGTCCCCATGGTAACCATCTTTCAGGCAACCAGGCTCTCTATTACTTCCCCCACTTATTGAGAGTTTGAATACTGAATATTGAATTAAGAATGATACTGCACACATTTACACAGACTGCTTCTGCTGACAGATGCAGGTGAGAATCACATAATTCAAAATGTTCTGAAATGTTTTTTTCCCCTCTTTGGTAAATTTGCATTAGCTAGCTGAATGCATCTCTCATGGCTTCCCCCTCACTCTCTGTGTGTCTCAGGTGTGGTGTCTCTGTCTCAGGCTCTGTGCTCCAGTGATGAGTATTCCAACTCTCTACTGCACCTGGACCTGAGCAAGAACCCTGGAGTCCTGTCTGGGGAGGACGCTTCGGTCAGAAAACACATACACACATATACACACATATATACACGCATACACTGAGTGTACAAAATATTAGGAACACCTGCTCTTTCCATGACATAGACTGACCAGGAGAATCCAGGTGAAAGCTATGATCCCTTATTGATGTCACCTGTTAAATCCACTTTAATCAGTGTAGATGAAGGGGAGAAGGCAGGTTAAAGAAGGATTTTTAAGCCTTGAGACAATTGAGACATGGATTGTGTATGTGTGCCATTCAGAGGGTGAATGGGCAAGACAAAATATTGAAGTGCCTTTGAACGGCACCTTGTAGTCCACGCCTAACGAACTGAGGCCAAAGGGGGTGCAACTCAATATTAGCAAGGTGTTCCTAACATTTTGTAAACTCAGTGTACGTACACTCACACTTTGTATACAAACCAACAGGAAAGTATATGCAGTGCTTATGCCTTATGCATGAGTTTCTCAGTTTAACATTAGCGTCTTTTCTCTCTCTTTCTGTAGAATCTGTACCTTTTCCTGTCCCAGCCTAATTGTCTGGTCCATTTGGACCTGTCTGACACTGACTGTGCTGTTGACTCTGTGAGTATCTAGTGGCTCTGCGAGTTAGATTTGAACTTGCTTATATAATGTAGGATTGAATGAGTTTCTCTACACCCTTTGCAACCTCTGTCTCTGTTTTTCATCCTCTATAATCCTCAACCCCTGTATCTTTCTCTCTCCCACTAAAACTGCACAACACAACTGTCTCTCCTCTCTCACATAGCTATTTGGGGCTCTGCTGAGGGGGTGTTGTGCTGATCTCTCCTACCTGAATCTCTCCAAAAATTCCTTCTCACACAGGTTAGTCACATACTTTAGATTAACTATTTCTTTGGTGTGATGTGGCAGAAAAATGCTTTGAGGCTCTGAGTGAAGATAGAACACTAATTTTAGCAATAAATCTTTTTTTCTTCAAATATCCTCAGGCTTCATCTTTTGCTCTCTCTTTTTCTGTTCACTCTCTCTATCTGTCTTTTTCTCTGTTGCTCCCTCAAATGAGAAATCAGAAATGAGCTTTGTGGGAATCACTGGAACATTGTGTTTCCTCTCTGTGGGTGTGTCTGTCGTTTTTAAAACGAGAACTTGCAAAGCTGTCTGCATAGATAAGACTCATGAATATTTAAGCAGAGCTATTTATCATCTGACCCCACTTGCTCCCTCCTCTTTGACCAACTCCATTTTCTCTCTCTTTCTCATTTCGTCTCAATCCTCTCTCCACTTCATACCACTCTTTTGTATTTTTTCTGCCTATCAACAACTTAACCACTCGCCTTCTATTGCTTTTCCCTCCCACTCTCCATCTATACCTCCTCTCCCTCTCCCTCTCCTCTCGTTCATCTCCCTCTGACCTCTCTCCTCTCCCAGGAAAGTGAAGGAGACCCTGCCGTTGTTCCGTCAGTTCTTTAGCTCGGCCTTCAGCCTCACCCATGTCAGCCTGGCCTCTATGAAGCTGCCCCCTGATGCCTTGAGGTCAGTTCCCCTATTCTCCTTTTCTCCCCTGCACTCTATCACATGCCTACAGCTCACTAGAATGACAGGGGCAAGGCTAGCTGCACAACACACACTGGTCACTATGGCACTTGAGACTGAGTTAAAGGGTGTGAATTTCCAGACAAAGAAGGAAGCAAAACGGTCTTTGTTGTTGTAAGACAGGTCAATACCCTTTCCACCTATCACATATTATTTTTATTTTCTTCCCTCTCTGTCTTTCTTTAGGTCTCTTTTCATAGGTCTGACCACAAACCCTCACATTAATGACCTTCACCTGGACATCAGTGGCTGTGAGGTACAAGTCTGTCTTTCTGTCTGTCTGTCACTCTGCACACAGAACATTCAATTCCTGCTGGCCTTTATAATTTCCCATCTATATCTCTCTGTCATTCATTTCTTATGTTTCAAGTAAGGACTTACTGTACAGTAGGTATACATGGAGACTATCTTTTCTCAAGGTCTTGTCTTATTGTGCTTTGAAAGTCCTCCTCCTTTCACACATGTTGTCTCTGTCTCTGTCTCTCTCTCTGTTCCAGCTGAAGTCTGCAGGAGCTGCTGTGATCCAGGAGCTGTTCCCCAGGGTCTCCTCCATCGCCACCCTGGACATCTCAGACAATGGTGAGCACAACGACAGACTGCACCACTATGGCACAGACCCAAAGAGGTTTTGAATGGATCGCGAGTGTCTGAGTAAAAAAATATTCCTGTGTGAACTTAAATGACTTAAACCAGGTAGAAAGTGTGTAGAAATGATAATGAACTTACATTTTTACATAATGTAATCTCTGAACAATTTTTCGTCAATCACAGAATTTTCGATATAGAGCTATTAGCAGCACTATTTTGGTTGGTTTTGTGGTCTCAAGCCAGCGAGTTCTTCAACATTCTTCATCAAGAATATGGGTAAAATGTAGTTATTGACACTGAAAGAGGGAATGGGAATGTTGTTACCTTGTCATATTATTGCTACATTTACTATCAATATAGCATTAAAAATAGTTTTCCAGATTGCATTTTGGCCATTATTTTTCGCGATGCAAATATTGGGTCGCGACTGAGACAACCTGGTTAAATTTGGGTCCCGTGGCAAAACTAGTTGAGAACCACTGCTGTACACCACTGTGGCACACACTGGCACTCTGCACCACTCAGTCAGATTGTTTTGTGTGAGGTGGTTGTTTGTGTTTGAACACGTTTTGTATGAGGGGGCTGTGTGCTTAATACTTTTGAGCTAGTTTTGGATTTGTGGGGGCTGTGTATTTGTTTTTGTATTTATTAAGGATCCCCATTAGCTGCTGTCAAGGCAGCAGCTACTCTTCCTGGGGTCCTGCAACATTAAGGCAGTTATATACAGTTACAAATATTACATGACATTACATTTCATAACACTTTTCACAACACATTAAGTGTGTTCCCTCAGGCTACTACTCTAATACCACATATCTACAATACAAAATCTATGTGTACGTGTGTGTGCCTGTGTGTGTGTGTCTTCACAGTCCCCGCTGTTCCTTAAGGTGTAATGTTGTCTGTTTTTTAAATCTGACTCTACTGCTTGCATCACTTACCTGATGTGGAATAGAGTTCCATGTAGCCTTGGCTCTACGTTGTACTGTGCGTCTCCCATAGTCTGTTCTTGACTTGGGGATTGTGAAGAGACCTCTGGTGGCATGTCTTGTGGGGTATGCATGGGTGTCCGAGCTGTGTGCTAGTAGTTTCAACAGACACCTCGGTGCATTCAGCATGTCAACACTTCTTACAAAAACAAGTAGTGATGAAGTCAATCTCTCCTCCACTTTGAGCCATGAGAGATTTACATGTATATTATTAATGTTAGCTCTCTGTGTACATTTAAGGGCCAGCCGTGCTGCCCTGTTCTGAACCAATTGTAATTTTCAGAGATCCCGCTTTGTGGCACCTGACCACATGACTGAACAGCAGTCCAGGTACGACAAAACTAGAGCCTGTAGGACCTGCCTTGTTGATAGTGTTGTTAAAAAGGCAGAATACCGCTTTATTATGGACAGACTTCTCCCCATTTTAGCTACTGTTGTATCAACATGTTTTGACCATGACGATCCAGGGTTACTCCAAGCAGTTTAGTCACCTCAACTTGCTCAATTTCAACATTATTTATTACAAGATTAAGTTGAGGTTTAGGGTTTAGTGAATGATTTGTCCCAAATACAAGGCTTTTAGTTTTTGAAATATTTAGGACTAACTTATTCCTTGCCACCCATTCTGAAACTAACTGCAACTCTTTGTTAAGTGTTGCAGGGATTTCACTCACTGTAGTAGCTGACGTGTATAATGTTGAGTCATCCGCATACATAGACACACTGGCTTTACTCAAAGCCAGTGGCATATCATTAGTAAAGATTGAAAAAAGTAAGGGGCCTAGACAGCTGACTTGGGGAATTCCTGATTCTACCTGGATTATGTTGGATAGGCTTCCATTAAAGAACACCCTCTGTGTTCTGTTAGACAGGTAACTCTTTATTCACAATATACAGTGCCTTCGGAAAGTATTCAGACCCCTTGACTTTTTCCACATTTTGTTACGTTACAGCCTTATTCTAAAATGGATTAAATAAATACAAATCCTCAGAAATTCCTTATTTACATAAGTATTCAGACCCTTCGCTATGAGACTCGAAATTGAGCTCAGGTGCATCCTGTTTCCATTGATCATCCTTGAGAAAAAAACAATTTAATCAATTTTAGAATAAAGCTGTAACGTAACAAAATGTGAAAAAGGTCAAGGGGTCTGAATACTTTCCGAAGGCACTGTAGCAGGGGGTGTAAAGCCATAATATATACATTTTTCCAGTAGCAGACTATGATCGATAATGTCAAAAGCCGCACTGAAGTCTAACAGAACAGCTCCCAAAATCTTATCATCAATTTCTCTCAGCCAATCATCAGACATTTGTGTAAGTGCCGTGGTTGTTGAATGTCCTTCCCTATAAGCGTGCTGAAAGTCTGTTGTCAATTTGTTTACAGTAAAATAGCATTGTATCTGGTCAAACACAATTTTTTCCAAAGGTTTACTAAGGGTTGGTAACAGGCTGATTGGTCGGCTATTTGAGCCAGTAAAGGGGGCTTTACTATTCTTGGTTAGCGGAATTACTTTTGCTTCCCTCCAGGCCTGAGGGCGCACACTTTCTAGTAGGCTTAGATTGAAGATATTGCAAATAGGAGTGGCGATATTGTCCGCTATTATCCTCTGTAATTTTCCATCCAAGTTGTCAGACCCCGGTGGCTTGTCATTGCTGATAGACAATAATACTTTTTTCACCTCTTCCTCACTCACTTTACAGAATTCAAAATTACAATGCTTGTCTTTCATAATTTGATCAGTTATACTTGGATGTGTAGTGTCAGCGTTTGTTGCTGGCATGTCATGCCTAAGTTTGCTAATCTTGCCAATGAAAAAATCATTAAGGTAATTGGCAATATCAGTGGGTTTTGTGATGAATGAGCCATCTGATTCAATGAATGATGGAACTGAGTTTGCATTTTTGCCCAAAATGTCATTTAAGGTGCTCCAAAGCTTTTTACTATAATTCTTTATATAATTTATCTTTGTTTCATTGTTTAGCTTCTTCTTCTTTTTATTCAGTTTAGTCACATGATTTCTCAATTTGCAGTACGTTTGCCAATCGGTTGTGCAGCCAGACTTATTTGCCATTCCTTTTGCCTCATCCCTCTCAACCATACAATTTTTCAATTCCTAATCAATGCATGTGGATTGAATCGTTTTTACAGTCATTTTCTTAATGGGTGCATGCTTATTAGTAAAGCAATTTCATAAATGTGTCAAGTGCAGCGTTTGATTGCTCCTCATTACACACCACAGACCAACAAATATTATTTACATCATTTACATTTACATTTTAGTCATTTAGCAGACGCTCTTATCCAGAGCGACTTACAGTTAGTGCATACATTATTTTTTTTCATACCCCCTGTGGGAATGAATCATCAACATAGGAATCACTACAAATATTATTGTATGACCTCTTATACACTATATTAGGCCCAGCCTTTGGAACTTTGGTTTTCCTAGATATGGGTACTATATTGTGATCACTACATCCGATGGATTTGGATACTGCTTTAAAGCAAATTTCTACAACATTAGTAAAGATGTAATCAATACATGTTGATGATTTCATTCCAGTGCTGTTTGTAACTACCCTGGTAGGTTGACTGATAACCTGAACCAGGTTGCAGGCACTGGTTACAGTTTGAAGCTTTTTCTTGAGTGGGCAGCTTGATGAAAGCCAGTCAATATTTAAATCACCCAGAAAATGTACCTCTGTTAATATCACATACATTATCAAGCATTTCTTACATGTTATCCAGATACTGACTGTTAGCACTTGGTGGTCTATAGCAGCTTCCTACAAGAATGGGCTTTAGGTGAGGCAGATGAACCTGTAGCCATATTACTTCAACAGTATTTAACATGAGTTCCTCTCTAAGCTTTACAGGAATGTGGTTTTGATTATAAACATCAACACCTCCACCATAGGTATTTAAGTATTTTCTGTAGAGGTTATAACCATGTATTGCTACCACTGTATCATCAAAGGTATTATCTAAGTGGGTTTCAGAGATAGTCAGAATATGAATGTCATCTGTTACTAGCAAGTTACTGATTTCATGAACCTTGTTTCTTAAGCTACATATGTTAATGTGGGCTATTTTTAGTACTTTTCTGGAATGCTTGATTGTTTTCATTGCTTTACTGGGAAGCTTAGCAGAAGCAGACATGCTCATGTTATTTATGTTAGTGCAGGGTGAGCTGCACACAGTGGACTTCCTACTAGGGCACACCGCCTCAGTGCTAACAGTATAACTCTGGTTCATAGGCACATGATTAGGGAAAGGGAAAGGGAGATACCTAGTCAGTTGTACAACTGAATGCATTCAACTGAAATGTGTCTTCCACATTTAACCCCTTTGAATCAGAGAGTTGCGGGGGGCTGCCTTAATCGACAGCCACGTCATCGATTACTGCATACAATAGCTGTAGGATCAGCAGGGCAGTTAGAGGGACATAAATTAGGTTACTTACATTGTGTCTACCAACGCCCCTGGGATAATGTATATTTGCTGAAGCATTATTACAACTCAGCGACACAATGGTAGGGATTTACTGAGCTAGGCTTGGGTCATTGCTAAGTCATTGTTTCAACGCAGCCTTATAATGCAGTGAAATTATCCAGGAACCCAAATTATTCGGGTGGATCCCATCCTCCTTATAAAACGTGTTTTGTTTCGAAAAGGTATCGAAATTGTCAACAAAAGTTACACCCATTGAGCTGCAATAATCACGTAGCCAGTTGTGAAGAAAAAGTGTATGTTTGATGTCGTTTTGTTTGTGGTTTGTGTTTACAGGGCTGGATGCAGACCTTCTCTCAGTTCTACCAGCTCTCTCCAGACACACCTCCCTAAAGCACCTGTATCTGGGCAAGAACTTCAACATCAAGAGCAGGTACAGTACTACAGAGGCACAGTGGGTGTGTGGTTGTGTGTGTGTGTGCACGTTCATGTGTGTGCGTGTGTCAGCTTGATTTTCCTCAGGCAGACTGGGATGATTACGATAGCGGCAGGAAATGACTAGTGCCAGAGCTCCTGCTGAGTGTAGCCTGAACTGCCTCTCTCTCTATCTACAGGGTGCTGGAGGAAATCCTACAGAAGCTGGTCCAACTCATACAGGAGGAGGAGTGTGTGAGTGAGAATGCGTCACAATTCACACAACACTCACACATTACACAATATAATATTATATTTTATATTCACTGATTGTACTGCGGAGTATATACACAAACGCACAAACACTATACACGTTCATATACTCAATGAAAACTCATGGTCAAATATTGACATTCACCATACTGTATTTTACATGGTACTCTCTCATACATACTCTTTATTTTCTACAGTAGTGTTTTCCTTAGTGTAAATCAATCCATGGCCCTGTTACTGTGGGCTGTAACATATTATGCCTTCTGAATTATTCATGTTGTGTACAAAGCTATGTGACACATTGCTCTGTGTATTACAAATGCTGAGTTCCTCAGTTTCTCCTCAGCACTGCTCCCAACTGTTCCCAGCAGCATTTAACCATCTCTCTCCACTGTCATCTTCTTCTCCTCTATTTTTCTGTCCTACCCTCTTCTTCTACTTTACCTTTCCCCTGGTCTCCACCGTTACCCCTCACCCAACCTTCTCACCCCCTCTGCCTTGCCCTCTCCCGTCTCCCTCCCTCCCCACCCTTTCTCTCCCCTCTTCCCTGTCCCTCCCCAGGCTCTCCAGTCCCTCTCCCTGGCTGACTCGCGGCTGCGTTCTCGGGGCACAGTGCTGGTAAACGCTCTGGGCAGCAACACCTGTCTGCGTAAGGTGGACCTGAGTGGGAACAGCCTGGAGGACATTGGAGCCAAGATGCTGAGCAAAGCCCTGCAGATCAACACCACACTCAGGCAAGAGACCGAGAGCGGGAAGGAGAGAGATAGAGGGTATTGTCAGGTATGGTGATGGTTGTTTTTAACACTGCCTCTCCCCTGTCCTGACAGGAGTGTGACGTGGGATCGTAACAACACCTCAGCTACAGGATTCCTGGATGTGGCTCGAGCCCTTGAACAGTGAGACTATTTGTTCATCAAACACACACATGCATGCTTGCACACATACACACACACGCTCAGACTTCTAAATCCGTTATAGCTCACTATAGCTTATTTTACAGACCCCTTTGATGAATTTGTATGCTCAAAATACAGGAAGCAAGAGAGTTGATATAAATAGGTTCCAAGAGACATGGGGATGCCTGAAGCTATGTGTAATTTAAATGTCCTGTTGTTCAGAGAGTATTTTCAGAATTAGCTGGCTAATATATCAACTCAGATACACGTGAACCAAACCTAGCTTACTGTACACATTGATACTTGCTATCTCAAACGGCTTAGGTTTGCGTTTAGTCTACAGATCACATTAGCTGCAATAATCAAAGCATTACTCATCCTATCACAGTCCAGCAGGATATTTTGGGATGAATTCTTGTGATGAAGGGGTATTTTGGGAGGAATTCTGTCCACTGGGAATATTAACCCTTACCCTTGGGTCTGTAACTCAATTTTCTGTAGCTCACTCTCTGCCTCCTTCCTTTCTCTGTCTCCTTCCTTTCTCTGTCTCCTTCCTTTCTCTGTCTCCTTCCTTTCTCTGTCCCCTTCCTTTCTCTATCCCATTCCTTTCTCTGACCCCTTCCTTTCACTGTCTCCTTCCTTTCTCTGACCCCTTCCTTTCACTGTCTCCTTCCTTTCACTGCCTCCTTCCTTTCTCTGTCTCCTTCCTTTCTCTGTCTCCTTCCTTTCTCTGTCTCCTTCCTTTCTCTATCCCATTCCTTTCTATGTCCCCTACCTTTATCTGTCTCCTTCCTTTCTGCATCTCCTTCCTAACTCAAACCCCTTCTCTTTCGCTCACCTTCGGTGTGTTCTCTCCCAGTAACTTCACCTTGCAGTACATGCCCCTCCCCCTCAGTGACATCAGTCAGGCGTTCCGTAGCTCCGCCGAGAGGACAGAGCAGGCACTGACCAAGGTGGGCTCCTTATGCTTCCATCTCAATCCTCCCTCCAACCCTCCGTTAAACATCCACTCCTTTCCTTTGCCTCTCTATTTCATCTCCTTTCCTTCACTGCTTCTTTTCTCTACTGGCACCATCATTCTCTCTCACTCCCTGCCCTTTCCATTTCAATTGACTCTGCTTCATTGACATTTTCACACAGTAGTATTGCCTGTGTGAGTGAATGTTTTTTTAAATCTGTGGCCATCAGATCCAGCGTGCTCTGCTGAGGAACAACCAGACTCAGCGCTTCTCTCAGAGACAGGCTCTACGGCTGCACCAGGGCCTGGTCACCAGCACTGCTGAACAGGTAGCTAATGTATACAGTACCAGTCAAAAGTTTGGAAACACCTACTCATTCCAGGGTTTTTCTTTATTTTTACTATTTTCTACATTGTAGAATAATAGTGAAGACACCAAAACAATTAAATAACACATGTAGTAACCAAAAAAGTGTTAAACAAATACAAATATATTTGAGATTTGAGATTCTTCAAATAGCCACCCTTGGCCTTGATGACAGCTTTGCACACTCTTGGCATTCTCTCAACCAGCTTCATCTGGAATGCTTTTCCAACAGTCTTGAAGGAGTTCCCACATATGCTGAGCACTTGTTGGCTGCTTTTCCTTCACTCTGCGGTCAGACTCATCCCAAACCATCTCAATTGGGTTTAGGTTGGGGGATTGTGGAGGCCAGGTCATCTGATGCAGCACTCCATCACATTCCTTATTGGTAAAATAGCCCTTACACAGCCTGGAGGTATGTTGGGTCATTGTTCTGTTGAAAAACGAATGATAGTCCCACTAAGCCCAAACCAGATGGGATGCTGGTTAAGTGTGCCTTGAATTCTAAATAAATCACAGACAGTGTCACCAGCAAAGCACCCCCACACCATAACATATCCTCCTCCTCCATGCATTACGGTGGGAAATACACATGCAGAGATCATCTGTTCACCCACACCGCATCTCACAAAGCCATGGTGGTTGCAACCAAAAATCTCCAATTTGGACTCCAGAACAAAGGACAGATTTCCACCGTTCTAATGTCCATTGCTCGTGTTTCTTGGCCAACCATTACTAAAGGACACCAATACGAAGAAGAGACTTGCGTCTCTTCTTCGTATTGGTGTCCTTTAGTAATGGTTTCTTTGCAGCAATTCGACCATGAAGGCCTGATTCACACAGTCTCTGAACAGTTGATGTTGAGATGTGTCTGTTACTTGAACTCTGTGAAGCATTTATTTGGGCTGCAATTTCTGAGGCTGGTAACTAATTAACTTATCCTCTGCAGCAGATGTAACTCTGGGTCTTCCATTCCTGTGGAGGTCCTCATGAGAGCCAGTATCATCATAGCACTTGATGGTTTTTGAGACTGCACTTGAAGAAACTTTCAAAGTTCTTGACATTTTCCGCATTGACTGACCTTCATGTCTTAAAGTAATGACGGACAGTTTTTTCTCTTTGCTTTGTTGAGCTGTTCTTGCCATAATATGGACTTGGTCTTTTACCAAATAGGGCTATCTTCTGTATACTCCCCCCTACCTTGTCACAACACAACTGATTGGCTCAAACGCATTAAGAAGCAAAGAAATTCCACAAATTAACTTTTAAGAAGGCACACCTGTTAATTGAAATGCATTCCAGGTGACTATCTCATGAAGCTTGTTGAGAGAATGCCAAGAGTGTGCAAAGCTGTCATCAAGGCAAAGGGTGGCTATTTGAAGAATCTCAAATATACAGTGGCTTGCGAAAGTATTCACCCCCCTTGGCATGTTTCCTATTTTGTTGCCTTACAACCTGGAATTAAAATTGATTTTTGGGGGGTTTGTATCATTTGATTTACACAACATGCCTACCACTTTGAAGATGCAAAATACTTTTTTTTGTAAAATAAACAAGAAATAAGACCGAAAAACATCAAACTTGAGCATGCATAACTATTCATCCCCCCCCCTCCAAAGTCAATACTTTGTAGAGCCAACTTTTGCAGCAATTACAGCTACAAGTCTCTTGGGGTATGTCTCTATAAGCGTGGCACATCTAGTCACTGGGATTTTTGCCCATTCTTCAAGGCAAAACTGCTCCAGCTCCTTCATGTTGGATGGGTTCTGCTGGTGTACAGCAATCTTTAAGTCATACCACAGATTCTCAATTGGATTGAAGTCTGGGCTTTGACTAGGCCATTCCAAGACATTTTAATGTTTCCCCTTAAACCACTCGAGTGTTGCTTTAGCAGTATGCTTAGGGTCATTGTCCTGCTGGAAGGTGAACCTCTGTCCCAGTCTCAAATCTCTGGAAGACTGAAACAGGTTTCCCTCAGGAATTTCCCTGTATTTAGCGCCATCCATCATTCCTTCAATTCTGACCAGTTTCCCAGTCCTTGCCGATGAAAAACATCCCCACAGCATGATGCTGCCACCACCATGCTTCAATGGGGATGGTGTTCCTGGGGTGTTGGGAGGTGTTGGGTTTGCGCCAGACATAGCGTTTTCCTTGATGGCTAAAAAGCTCAATTTTAGTCTCATCTAACCAGAGTACCTTCTTCCATATGTTTGGGGAGTCTCCCACATGGCTTTTGGCGAACACCAAACATGTTTGCCTATTTTTAACTTTAAGCAATGACTTTTTTCCGGCCACTCTTCCATAAAGCCCAGCTCTGTGGAGTGTATGGCTTAAAGTGGTCCTATGGACAGATACTCCAATCTCCGCTGTGGAGCTTTGCAGCTCCTTCAGGGTTATCTTTGGTCTCTTTGTTGCCTCTCTGATTAATGCCCTCCTTGCCTGGTCTGTGAGTTTTGATGGGCGGCCCTCTCTTGGCAGGTTTGTTGTGGTGCCATATTTTTTCAATTTTTAAATAATGGATTTAATGGTGCTCCGTGGGATGTTCAAAGTTTTTGATATTTTTTTTATAACCCAACCCTGATCTGTACTTCTCCACAACTTTGTCCCTGACTTGTTTGGAGAGCTCCTTGATCTTCATGGTGCCACTTGCTTGGTGGTGCCCCTTGCTTGGTGGTGTTGCAGACTCTGGGGCCTTTCAGAACAGGTATATATATAATGAGATCATGTGACAGATCATGTGACACTTAGATTGCACACAGGTGGACTTTATTTAACCAATTATGTGACTTCTGAAGGTAATTGGTTGCACCAGATCTTATTTAGAGGCTTCATAGCAAAGGGGGTGAATACATATGCACGCACCACTTTTCCGTTATTTATTTGGTATAATTTTTTGAAATAAGTTATTTTTTTCATTTCACTTCACCAATTTGGACTATTTTATGTAAGTCCATTACATGAAATCCAGATAGAAATCCATTTAAATTACAGGTTGTAATGCAACAAAATAGGAAAAACGCCAAGGGGGATGAAAACTTTTGCAAGGCACTGTAAAATATATTTTGATTTGTTTAACACTTTTTTGGTTACTACATGATTCCATATGTGTTATTTCATAGTTTTGATGTCTTCACTATTATTCTACAAAGTAAAAAAATAAAATAAAAAATAAAAGTGTGTCCAAACTTTTGACTGGTAGTGTATGTGTATTAGTTTTGTGTGTGTGATTGCTCTAATGATGGCTCAACTCATTGTCTCTCAATCACACACAATATGTGTGCATTGTATGTCTTTACTGACACCCCGCCTGCTTCTCTGTTCTCTGTTTCCCAGGTGATGGAGCGTCTGTGTGTGCGTGTGCAGCAGCAGGTGTGTGTGCTGCGTGGAGTAGGGGAGATGGAGGAGATTCAAGCTGCTAAACAAGTGCTGAAGGAGGCCAGGAACTCTCGCGCGGTGAGCGTGTGTGCATGCCTGAATCATTTCTCTAATCTCTAGTGTAGTTAAGTGTTCAAGTGTATGTGGGTCTTCCTTTAAACTAGGGTACCAGTTTGGATTTCCTACACTGGACAACTTGTTACAGCTGTTGATAGGCCATTGATAATAATCAGCATTTTTTTTCTTCATGTCATTACATTAAGATATAAGGGGGGATCATAGCTATATTCAATAAAATTCACGAGTTGATTTAAAACCTCTGTTTAACCCTTTATCATGTTTGGTGTCTTGACGGATTTGTCCAAAATCGTGTGATGTGAAACATGACTTTTCTGTCCTTGCATTTATGGCAGTGTAAGTTGACGTTATATATTAAGCATTAATCAGTTAAATTAGAAATTGAACAGTTTTTAGTATAGAGATCTCAGAAATGCACTGTAACTACGTAACATTTCGCGTCTTCTTATGTTACGGGATGAAAACAGTTTTCATGGGCACACAAATCCAAAATAATAAATGCGATTGCAAAATCAAATGCTTCTAACCGAAAGAGTCACCTTACCTTGGTACTTAAAACTTAAATTAACATGGTTCTTCAATAATTATGCATAATACTTGTTGGATGTGCGAGTTATGCCATAATAATTTCACACATCATCATCTGATCCAGGAATTAATTTTCCACATTGGATTTAATATCCCTAGCGAATTGATATTGAACATCTGTTGTTGTCTGCTTGATTTACAGTAGGGTCTTTTTAGATTTAACAGAGAAAGCATCAAGTTAATGTGTTCATGTTTTCAAATGTTTTTGTGCCTCGCATTGGACACCTAGTCTACTGTGCGCAATTGTGTAGGATAGACTATTGCGAGACACCCAACACTGTTCATATGAATTATTCTGGATATAATGACAACAAATTACATAACATAGTGGGTTTATTCATAATATCATCTGGTAATGAAATAACATGACAAATACATTAAAATCAAGGGGCTTGAAGTAGCATACTTGAACTTGAACTTCGAGCTCCGAAATTCACATACTGGGCCTACCTTGAAAATCAGACATTTTATCAATTTGGTGCTTGAAAAGTTCTTGAAATTATTGTAGCCAATTTATAAGTTCTCCTGCTCCCTTATAATTATCCGTGATTTCATTTTTGATCAATTTTTGTGAGAGATGTGACCACTTTCGTTTGTTTCCAGCTGCTTCAATTGAAGAGTGTTGCGCTACTCTGTTGCGGTAAAACCATGTGAGGTTATTATTAGGACGACACGATCTAATGTTGGCTTCAACTTGGCTTTCCATACAAATCCTTCCATTAAAAAAAGAGCCTGGTATTTGGTCACTTACTCATTATAAAAACAGCGATGGTGAGATTCAAATGGTGAGATTAATGCTACCGCTATTCATGGATTTATTATGTGTGCCCGCGTCGGTTACAGAAAAATCGCCGTGCATGCATCCAATCTATTTAGTCAGGCAATGTCCACATTATTCTCACATATTCTAGAATGTACTGTAATAATAATTTGAATATCAATGCATTGGCAAGGCCTAAAAAAATTAATTATTCTTAAAGTGGTAATGGCCTACTTTTTTTTACACCTTTTGCATGTTTTTTTGGGGGAGGGGGGTGGGGGTATATATACAATTGTATAACATTGAATTTGACTTGCCAATGTCTGTATGAACCCTGCTTAAAGGATGTATAGTCCTAGGCCTATGTTGTTGTATAGGTGGAGTTATGGGTACATTTGCATATATTCACTTTTATTCCTCTAAGTACACATGTGGAACTGCATGAAAATCATTTAGACATTTTAATCCCAATGTCACACATTGGCCCCATTATTTATAGAAAGACCCATGTCTTTTTGTATTAATATAACACCCCCACACCCCTCTCTCGCTCTCTCTCTCTCTCTCTCTCTCTCTCTCTCTCTCTCTCTCTCTCTCACTCTGTCTCTCTCTCGCATATATTCACTTTTATTCCTCAAAGTACACATGTGGAACTGCATGAAAATCATTTTGACATTTTGATCCCAATGTCACACATTGGCCCCATTATTTATAGAAAGACCCATGTCTTTGTGTATTAATATGACACCCCCCACCCCTCTCTCTCTTTCTCCTCTCTCTCTCTCTATACTCTCTCTCTCTCTCTCTCTCTCTCTCTCTCTCTTCTCTCTCTCTCTCACTCTGTCTCTCTCTCGCATATATCACTTTTATTCCTCTAAGTACACATGTGGAACTGCATGAAAATCATTTTGACATTTTGATCCCAATGTCACACATTGGCCCCCTTAATAGAAAGACCCATGGCTTGGTGTACCTAATATCGGAAAAACCACTATAATATCGCGAAACCGAGACCAGACTGCTCTTCAACACTCCGATATCTCTCTTCTCTCTCTCTCTCTCTCTCTCTCTCTCTCTCTCTCTCTCTCTCAGCTGTACCCCTCTCTCTGTGAGCTAGCTCATGTCCTGTCAGTAGATGGGCCAGTCAGACAGAAACTGGACTCACTGGCAGGAGAACTGGCCAAGGCAGCTGACAAGGAACTACAGGTGCAATCCTCAATACATCACATATTTATATAAATGTTTTATTTACTTCGCCATTATTTCTTAATCAATTAGGCAACACAGGGATTGGTTGAATATTTGATTGATTGATTGAGTTATTGATTGATTGATTGTTTAATTGGCTTGTTGATTGACAGGTGATAGTTGACTCCATGGTGTCTCTCTGTCGTGAGCTGTGCCCGCTGTCCTCCTCTGCAGCAGAGAGATTGAGTCCTCCACTCTCGTCCGTCTCTGAGCGCGTCTCCATCCCACGCTCTGCCATCCGGACGGCCATGATGGAGCGAGCAGCTCAGGACATCCACCGTGTGCTGGAGTAAGAAAGGGAGGGAGGGAGGGAGGGAGGGAGGGAGGGATGGGATGGATGGATGGATGGATGGATGGATGGATGGATGGATGGAAGGAAGAAAGAAGAGGGGGAGCTGAAGGAGGAAGATAAGCGATGCAGTCTTCTTTGTTCAATTTAATCAGTGTGGGTATCTGTGAACTCATTCCATCATACTGTCTTCCCCCTCCTCCGCCCTGCCTTCCCTCTCCTGATCCCTCCCCTCTCTTTGTCTTTCTCCCCCTCTCCCAGAGAGGTGAAGCTCTCAGTGGTTTCCTATCTCACCAACTCCATTGTGGATCAGATCTTGCAGGAGCTCTACGCCACTCACAAGACCCTGGTATAGACATGCTGCTGTCTGTCTGTCTGTCTGTTTGTGTCTCTGTCTGTCTATAGTCCTGATATTGATTCTGTCACCTTTTGCCTACCATTATCAGTAACACTTTACTTGAAGGGGCACACATAAGGCATTCATAACACCATTATACACTTTTGCAGTATCATTCATAACAACCTTTATAACACCTTTATGAAACCAGTCATAACACCTTTATGAGTGTTGCAGTATCATTCATAACAACCTTCATAATACATTTATTCATGTCTAGTGTCTGCTCCCTGTCCCAGACGCGTCAGGTGTCCCAGGTGAAGCGCTGGGAGGGGACATGTGACGGAGGGACAGGCCGGAGGTCACACAGACACAGAGACTCTCTGGACATCACTGACGAGGAGCTGGGCACCAGCATAGTAAGCATTGTGTGTTGGGATTGTCTGTTTAGGATGTGTGTGTTTGTGTTTTGACATCTTTTTCTTCCGTCTCTAGGACACAATTGCCATTAAGAAGCACAGCTCTAGAACTAGACGAATACGACCCGTTTCTACCAGACTGAGTGAGTATGTCTCCGTCCCACTATCTCTCAATCTCCCTCTCTCTTCCTCCCAGCTTGTTCTCTCTTTTAGAGGTCCATTAGTGACTGTGTCCTGCTGTGTCTGTTTTTCTCTCCCTCTTTCCCTTTCCCTCTCTCTCTGAGTGAGCCATTAATGGCTGGTGTTCATGCCAACCTGAACCCATTCCTGCCTCAACATATTTGAGTGCACTTGCCAATTGTTGTAGTTTTTAAACAGTATTTATTTCAAGCACAGATGACAGTTCCACATGACTCCTATGAGAACTTCTACCACCTCGCCACTTCCTTCTCCATTTCGCTCCCTTTTATGCATCTGTTTCGCTCTCATCTCGTCATCTTTCCATATTTTATTCTCTCTCTCTTTCAGGCCTGTGTGATGACTCCAGCTCCTCCCCGCCCGCCTCTGCGTCCTCTTCTTTCTCGGCCCTCTCTCGCTCTGCATCCTGTGAGGGGCTGTCTGAGCTCCCTACCCAGGGTGCACCTCTACATCATGTGACGCGGGTTAGGCCGAGGCCCCCACGGAGGCACCGAGCAGGACATGCCCCCTCTGACACAGTAAGAGGAAGCTGACCTCAGGATCTCACCCCATATGGAATATATACTGCTCTGAACTGCTCAGACTGTGTGTGATACTTAACTATGAATATGGAAATACAGGATCTATATTCACTTATATATTCACTTATGAATATTGTATACACAGAGAGGCCCCTGCTGTAGTAGATTTCTCATCTGAGTGCAGAAGCGTAAATATGCAGATATATTGAAAAATGTATGCACTCACTAACTGTAAGTCGCTCTGGATAAGAGCGTCTGCTAAATGACTAAAATGTATTAGCTAAATATTAGCTAATAAATGATCAATTTAAGGAGATACTGATATGGCAACACATAGTTAAAGATAAGTGAACTTTAAAAACTCATGGAGTTACATAGAGATACTTTCATATTAATAAGACAAAATACGGATGTTATTTGCATAGCTAATGACAACTACAAAGATAATATTCCCTTATGATACAAGCAAAATGTATAACTAATGGCTATATTAATTGCTTGTTAAATAGACTAGATGTTAAAATTGATACATCTGGTTTATTTAACAAGCATTTAATATAGCCATTAGTTATACATTTTGCATGCGTGCCTAAGCACATATTCTATTCCAAAAGAACGATTATTCATGTGATTAAAGTAATGATAATATAACTTTTAACTTAATTTATGGCTCATGCATAATTCCCACTGCATATTCCCAAATGTTAGGGCCTCCCGGCAGTGGCAGTGTGCTGCTCTATTTTTCAGAATGGATTGGGTCCAGGGTAATCTATACTAAGAGAATTACTCCAATTGGGTTAAGTCATCTCTCTGAAGCTAGTATAATCCATTTGTGTTATTACCAACAGAACATTAAAAATGTAAAAAATTGTAAGCCCCTCCAATAAGTACTTACAAACAGTGTGGGAAATCAGTCTTTATTTCTGGAATATGAATTTGTGGATGTATAAGAATAGTATCATAATTCTGAAATATCTCTCTCCCCGTCCCCAGCATTGCACTGAAAATGGAACTGTCACCCCTCTTGATGATGGACTCCCAGATTTCTACTCCAAGAGAGTCCTCACTGAAGGGAGGGAGGAGAGAGAGAGAGAGAGCCGCAAGGATGAGGGAGAGAGAGCGAGCAGAGCGAGGCTCTCTCTCTCTCTTCTCTCTCTCTCTCTCTCTATCTGTCTCTATCTATCTCTCTCTCTCTCTTTCTCCCTCGCTCTCTATCAAAAAACAATAGGAGTGAATGGCACACCATAATCATGATCTAAATTGCATGAATCACCTCCAAGGTAACTACAACTCAAGTCATTTAGCATAGGCCTACTTTCCATTAGTCCATAGACTACTTTCAGGATAAGGATTTTAGGTGAGCTCTGCCTTTAGTAATAGTTTTAGAGAGTACCCTCTCCTCTTGTCACATGCTGGCAGAGTAATGCTGGTCCATGCTAAAGTACACCCACACAGCAGATCATCTGGTTAAGTGGATGCTTTTAGTATTATTACATTTACTGTTAAGCATATTTCTAAATGAATGTACTCTGGATAAAGCGTTCTGTGCCATGAATGGTATCCTAGCAACGTCTCTCACTGCCAGGAAGTGTTACGTTTCAGGCAGCAGCCCAGAGAAACATATGGGGTCTGATGACAGGGTGAATAAGTAAAAGTACAGGTGCTGACTAGGGACAAACTGAACAGAAATATGACTTATGATATAGACATATACTTAGTGTACAAAACAATAGGAACACCTGCTCTTTCCATGACAGACTGACCAGGTGAATCCAGGTGAAAGCTATGATCCCTTATTGATGTCACGTGTTAATTCCACTTCAATCAGTGTAGATGAAGGGTAGGAGACTGGTTAAAGAAGGATTTTTAAGCCTTGAGACAATTGAGACATGGATTGTGTATGTGTGCCATTCGGAGGGTGAATGGGTAAGACAAAATAGTGAAGTGCCTTTGAACGAGGTATGGTAGTAGGTGCCAGGCGCACCGCTTTGAGTGTGTCAAGAACACTTTCCTGTGTGTATCAAGAATGGTCCACCACCCAAAGGACATCCAGCCAACTTGACACAATTGTGGGAAGCATTGGAGTCAACAGGGGCCAGCAACTCAATAGTAGGAAGATGTTCCTAATGTTTTGTACACTCAGTGTATTTTTACTGTATAGCTATGGTCAGTTTATGTCTCTCTTTATATCTGCCTTTTGTCTTCATCCTTTATCTTCTTCCTATTTTGTCCCCCTCATCTCTCTCTACCCTTTCCATCTCTTTTTCCCTATGTCAGTCAGTTGTCCTCTCTCCATAAAGCCCACTCTCTCAGGCGAAAGAAAAGACGCAATATGCTGGCCATCTTTGGTTTCCGTAGGAACCGCAACTCAACGCTCTCCAATCAGGGGCCAGAGTCTGGCAGAGATGGGTGTGGGGAGGAGTGTCACACTGTTGCCACGGCACCCACAGGGTTTGTGAATCCTCAGTATCACACTTACACACACACACACACACACACACACACACACACATACACATACACATACACATACACACACACACACACACACACACACACACACACACACACACACACAACTAGTATGATACAGTGAGGGAAAAAAGTATTTGATCCCCTGCTGATTTTGTACGTTTGCCCACTGACAAAGAAATGATCAGTCTATAATTTTAATGGTAGGTTTATTTGAACAGTGAGAGACAGAATAACAACCAAAAAATCTAGAAAACGCATGGCAAAATTTTTATAAATTGATTAGCATTTTAATGAGGGAAATAAGTATTTGACCCCCTCTCAATCAGAAAGATTGGTGACAACAGTTGGTGCGATTGGAAGAAACACAAAATAACTGTCAATCTCCCTCGGCCTGGGGCTTCATGCAAGATCTCACCTCGTGGAGTTGCAATTATCATGAGAACGGTGAGGAATCAGCCCAGAACTACACGGGAGGATCTTGTCAATGATCTCAAGGCAGCTGGGACCATAGTCACCAAGAAAACAATTGGTAACACACTACGCCGTGAAGGACTGAAATCCTGCAGCGGCCGCAAGGTCCCCCTGCTCAAGAAAGCACATTATACAGGGCCGTCTGAAGTTTGCCAATGAACATCTGAATGATTCAGAGGAGAACTGGGTGAAAGTGTTGTGGTCAGATGAGACCAAAATCGAGCTCTTTGGCATCAACTCAACTCTCCGTGTTTGGAGGAGGAGGAATGCTGCCTATGACCCCAAGAACACCATCCCCACCGTCAAACATGGAGGTGGAAACATTATGTTTTGGGGGTGTTTTTCTGCTAAGGGGACAGGACAACTTCACCGCATCAAAGGGACGATGGACGGGGCCATGTACCGTCAAATCTTGGGTGAGAACCTCCTTCCCTCAGCCAGGGCATTGAAAATGGGTCGTGGATGGGTATTCCAGCATGACAATGACCCAAAACACACGGCCAAGGCAACAAAGGAGTGGCTCAAGAAGAAGCACATTAAGGTCCTGGAGTGGCCTAGCCAGTCTCCAGACCTTAATCCAATAGAAAATCTGTGGAGGGAGCTGAAGGTTCGAGTTGCCAAACGTCAGCCTCGAAACCTTAATCATTTATAGAAGATCTGCAAAGGGGAGTGGAACAAAATCCCTCCTGAGATGTGTGCAAACCTGGTAGCCAACTACAAGAAACGTCTGACCTCTGTGATTGCCAACAAGGGTTTTGCCACCAAGTACTAAATCATGTTTTGCAGAGGGGTCAAATACTTATTTCCCTCATTAAAATGCAAATCAATTTATAACATTTTTGACATGCGTTTTTCTGGATTTTGTTGTTGTTATTCTGTCTCTCACTGTTCAAATAAACCTACCATTAAAATTATAGACTGATCATGTCTTTGTCAGTGGGCAAACGTACAAAATCAGCAGGGGATCAAATATTTTTTCCCTCACTGTATATAAAGCTGTGCAATCTACACAGCATGATTTATATCAGTGTCACATTATCTTGACTTTCACTTAATAACATATGTATACCCCTTACCTCTTTATGAATATGTATCACTCTTTTTCTCTCTCTACCTTTCATGCTCTCTGTTAGTATGATGAGCATTAAGTGCAAGCTCTGTGTGCCCTGTGTGCTAATAGTCTAAATCAGTGCTGGGAAGCAGTGCTGTGTTGACATGAGGAATGGTCATGCTGCCGGAGAGCACAGCAGATGACACCAGTATGTGTAAACAGATGTAGATGACACCAGTATGTGTAAACAGATGTAGATGACACCAGTATGTGTAAACAGATGTAAATGACACCAGTATGTGTAAACAGATGTAAATGACACCAGTATGTGTAAACAGATGTAAATGACACCAGTATGTGTAAACAGATGTAGATGACAGCTGTTGCCCTTCTCCCACTTAGATTATGAGATGCAAGAGAATGATGGCAATGATAATGCAGTCTAATGAATAAAGATGTAAAAAATTATGCAAGTCTAATATATTCTATCCCAATATTATAACATTATTATTGCATAGCCTGCTTGGTTAGAAAGCCAAAACAGGGCCAGAGGGGCATTTGTTATCCACACCAATTCAAATACAATCCAGGGGCCACAGAGCAAATTCTTGGTTGACTCTGTCATTGTTTCTCTGACTGTCCTCTTTGCTCTTTTCTCTCTCAGGACAGCCACTGAGAATGTCTACACGCTGCTGCAGCCCCCTCGTTCTGCTGCCAGGGCCTGCTCTCCTGGTGAGGGGGCTGATGGGAAGGTGGAGGACCAGAGGAGGGAGGAGCCAGTGGGCCTGAGCCTGCAGCCAGTGCAGAGCATACCACCACAGCCTGGCATGCCGGGCAGCAGACACCCCTTCTACTCACCCAGCCAGGTACAGTCTATGCTGTATCACTTGTGGTAGAAAACATTATTACTGGTTGATGAGTTCATGGTTATAATATCTCTTCTCATCTTTCCTCTGTGTTTTTTACAGCCATCAGAGCTAGAGACAGAGCACGAGCAACCTGCCGAAACAGACAGACATTGGTCAGAGGACAGACAGTGGACAGAGGGGCTTCACACAGACAGAGAGAGGACATTAATAAGACCGGCTGACAGACAGGCTGACCGGCACTGGACTGAGGACAAACTGTCAGACAAAACATGGACAGAGGGAAGAACGGCAGAGAGACAGATGGACAGATATTGGACAGAAGGCAGGAATGCAGATAGACACATGGAAAGACAGTGGACAGTTGACAGACACACACAAAGACAGATCGACAGACAGTTTGATCGAGATAGACAGTGGACGGTGAGCAAACAACAGACAGACAGACAGTGGACAGAGGGACGACCGACAGACATACAGATAGACAGACAGTGGATAGAGAGACGACCGACAGACATACAGATAGACAGACAGTGGATAGAGAGACGACCGACAGACATACAGATAGACAGACAGTGGAAAGAGAGCAGGCAGTCAGGCAGACAGTCTGACAGACAAGCCCAGGGACAACATCTGGCTCAGAGGCCTCTGCCCCCTTACCCATCAGACAGAACTCCATCACCTAAAATTGAGACTGACTCCCAGAAAAACATGGAGGCAACCATCGACAGACAGAAGCACTCTGACACACAGACGGAAAGACACCTGCGCTCAGACACTGCTGTAGGACAGGTGGAAGGGTGGAGGGGTGGAGGAGGGGTTCCCCCTGGACGGGTTTCTATGAGTGCATCTAAACCAGACCCGCCTCCCCAGAGCAGCAAACCCAACCAGTCCAAACTGAAACAGAGACATCTACAGGAGAGCTCTGGTACTGCACCTGTCTCTTACACACTGTTGTGTTAATATAAAGGTGCAATATGCAGAAATCGCTCCGCCATTTCCTGGTTGCAATTTTTTTTATAAGTTGCCTAATTTCAGTTTATGTGACAAAACAAGCAATGTATATGGTTAAGATGGTATGATAATTCAGTGTAGAGAATCATTGTACCATCTAAACCGCTGTGAAATATATTTTCAATAACCAAAAATATTGTAGTTTGAAGCTGGTGTACAAAATCAAAAATAAAAGACGCAAAAACGCAACTTAAGAACGTGAAGCATAGAAATAGTGCACATAAAACATATCTAGCACTTCTTAGACTTGCCTTCAGTGAAAATGACAGATCTACATTTACATTTACATTTTAGTTATTTAGCATCTATAAATCACATTTCTATGTGAATTTGGTAGGGTCGCCCAAAAAGTTACATATTGCAGCTTTAATGTATCTGCTTCATTATTTATAAAATCGAAGAGTGATATTATTACTCCATCTTTATCTTCAGGTGCAGACGAGGAAGCAGACGGAGATAGGGATGGTGGAAGAATGGAAAGGAAAGAGAGAGATAGAGGCAGAGATGCAGAGGGACAGCCACCTCCCATTCCTGAAAAGGTGTGTCTGTCTTTGCATATGCTTCTGGTTGTCATATTGATGTGAATACATTAGTATACTGGAAATTATACACTTAGTGGCCAGTTTATTAGGTACACCACCCAGTTCACGAAAATGGTTTGCTCCTACAGACAGTGAGTCACATGGCGGTGGCTTGCTATATAAAGCAGGCATACAGGCATCAAGGCATTCAGTTACTGTTCGATTGAACGTTAGAATAGGCAAAACGAGTGACCTAAGCGACTTCGAGAGTGGTATGATCGTCAGTGCCAGGCGCGCCAGTTCCAGTATCTCTGAAACGTATGGCCTCCTGGGCTTTTCACGCATGACAGTGTCTACGGTTTACCGAGAATGGTGTGACAAACATGAGAGGTCGAAGGAGAATGGCAAGAATCGTACAAGCTAACAGGGGGGCCACAAACAGGCAAATAATGGCGCAGTACAACAGTGGTTTGCAGAACGGCATCTTGGAACGAACAACTCAACGGTCCTTGTCACGGATGGGCTATTGCAGCAATCAGACAACCACACCGTGTTCCACTCCTATCAGCTAAAAACAAGAAGAAGCGGCTCCAGTGGCCACGCGAACACCAACACTGGACAATTGAGTAGTGGAAAAACATTGACTGCTCCGACAATTCCTGGTTCCTGTTGCGTCATGCTGATGGCAGAGTCAGGATTTGGAGTAAGCAGCATGAGTCCATGGCCTCATCCTGCCTGGTGTCAATGGTAAAGGCTAGTGCCGGTGGTGTAAGGGTGTGGGGAATGTTTTCCTGGCACACGTTAGGTCCCTTGATACCAATTGAGAAACGTTTCCATGCCCCGAATAATTCCGGTTGTTCTGGAGGCAAAGGGGGGTCCGACCTGAGACTAGATGGGTGTACCTTATAAACTGGCCATGTGTGGTTATGTTTAGATATTAATTGATAATTTTATTGATTTTGTGCCCCATTTATTTTCAGCCGAAGACATCCTATATGTCTTCTCCAAACGAGTATGCCAATGAAAGGCTGATCCATCCTCCTGCACCATACGCATTCAGCAAGCCAGTGCTGGGATTGGCTGACAGGGCTTTCAGTCAAGGTATTAACAAATTAAGCCAATATAATTTTGTCATTACAGTCAAAGACTATGACATTGTATGATTGACGGTGGTATATGGTGTGCAGGTGAGGAAGAAGTGAGACCTCAAGCCCCAGTGAAACCCCAGAGGAACAGAAAGGCTATGTCTTGTGACACAGGTACACCTGTCAGTCTGTATGCTTCTGTCTGTCTGTCTGTCTGTCTGTCTGTCTGTCTGTCTGTCTGTCTGTCTGTCTGTCTGTCTGTCTGTCTGTCTGTCTGTCTGTCTGTCTGTCTGTCTGTCTGTCTGTCTGTCTGTCTGTCTGTCCAATAGTTAGTCAGTATGCTTGTATTAGTCCATGGGTGTGTGTTAATATGTGCCTCATGATCACACCATGTCTGACTGTTACAGTATTTCCTGTCTTCATTTACCCCAGGCACTGACATGGATGGCCCTAATAATCTTGAGAAGCACCCAAATCACAAACCCCCAGTGAACAAACCTAGACTACTCCAGAACAGAAACAAATCCATGAAATGTCCTTGTCTCTCTCTCTCTCCCTCTCCCTCTCTCTCTCTCTCTCTCTCTCTCTCTCTCTCTCTCTCTCTCTATCTCTCTCTCTCTCTCTTGTCTCTCTCCCCCCCCCCCCCCCCCTCTCTCTCTCTCTCTCTCTCTCTCTCTCTCTCTCTGTCTCTGCCTCTGCCTCTGCCTCTGTCTCTGTCTCTGTGAGAATGGGAGCATCTGTTTCCTCTCATACTTAATGCATAAAAACAGCTATATTTCTTTGGATACAGCTATATTTGTGTGTTTTTGGTTTTACTATCCTTGTGGGGACCAGAAATCCTCACAAGAATAGGAAAATCTGTGGACATTTTGCCAGTTTCCACAAGGAAAATGGCTATTTTAGGGTTTGGTGTTAATGTTAGGGTTAGGATTTTGTTTGGTCCCCACAAGGATAGTAAAACAAACATGTGTGTGTTTCAGTCTAAACTAAGCAACATTTTCAATCTCCCCTTAGGTCGGAATAGAACTCAAACATGACTTCACTGTTGTTAATTATCTGATCAAATCGTGTTTAATGAGATGAATCAGTAATCAGGAATGTCTCTCGTTCTGTGCTCTTCCAGACAGCGTCAACTCAGCATCTGGTAACAGCGAGCTGTTGTAATGCCGATGGAATTCAGCTGCTTCAGACCAACCAGCCAGAGGGTTGTCATGACAACTGGGCCGCATTTGGTCCAATGTGGAAGCGGAGAAATATGTGAGGGAGAATCTAGACTCTAGAGAGAGAGGGGACACACATATATAGAGAGAGAAAGAGAGAGAGGGGGAGGGGAAGATAAATGGCTTAGAGTGCAAAATGATACGGACATCGCTAAGCATAACTTACCTACTGCAGTGTTATTGGAACACACACATCCTATTCCTAGTCCGTCTATGTCTGTCCCTTGCCCTCACTGTCTGCTTTCCTGTCATCTCAATGGAAACCTGCTGAACTGTTTTGCAGCTATTCGAATGGTGTTTGCTACTTTTGAAAATCTACTGAATTGTTGTCTGCACATAAAAAATTGCTAAAACACTGTCATGCTATAATGCTAAGGGGCCAAACATTGGAGCATTTTTATTATCATCATTGAGAGTTACACTTTATTTTGTATTATTATTGTTTATGTATACTAAGCTATGTGGCTAAGCTCGACTAAAGAAAGGAATGTGTCTATTAGAATGTTATTTCTAAATCTGCAATGCAATTTGACTGCTGTGAACGTTGATTGCCATGGTTGAAACTTGAAAATGAGTTGTTGCTTATAATTAAATTAAATATTTATATCTAGTTCTGCTTTCATGGACTGAAAGGTAATATATTTTATAGAAAACATTTACTTTAAAAATGATGTATGAGTATACCATATGAATGAATAAAAATGCTGTACTGGAAGACACACCGAGAATGTCATCCTTTTTATGGTTTGGTTCATAATAGGATAATAAACGGAGGTAAATGATTTTACCTTCCAAACTGCATTCACTGTTTAAACACAGAATTACCACTCTGGATTATAATACTTTAACCAGCAGAGGGCATCTACAGAAGGCCTCCTATAATTATCCCTAACAGCAGGTGGCGACCAACCCCAACAAATGAAAGGAGGACCTCTCAGCAACAGAAAGACTCATAATCTAGAACACCAAACACATGAGCTGCTGAGAAGCAGTCTTGCTGGTTGTCATTAGCAACCATGCCATGGCCCTATTTCTAAAGATGGTGGAATGAGTCAAATATGGGCTTTGGCTGGCTGGTGTGCTAAGTACGCTCTGATGCCAGGAGACAATATTAACGAGCTATTTATATGGAAATTGAATGAAAAGCTGCTTCTACAAACTCTGTAATTAAAACTTGAAAATATGTTTCTACCACCATGCCTATAGATGTAGGATCCTAATTTGATCACTATTGTTGCTGAGAATTTTCCTGCACCGCAGGAAATGCAGATGAGCTTTGTGATTTGTATAAATTCATACTGAAAATGCACACTAACAAACAGTGATATTAACAGTTTTGCACTTTTCATGTAGCCTACTTTTGGCCAGCTAATAGCCTAACCACCGATCAAGACTAAAACGTTCAAATCCTGTTGCTGCAGGATTATTTTGCTGTGACAATATAGGTCAAATTAAGATCCTACACCTGTAACTTCTCATATTGTTGAATCTGTCTGTGTCTGATGATTCTATGCATTATCTTGTCCATAACTGTTATAAGCCGTAGATAGTTATGTGTGATTGTAGTTGTTTGAAATACATTTCCACACTCCTTGGCAGCTCTGTGGACTGTCTTCATGGGGTGGATGGTGGAGTGGGTGGGAGGAGAGAAGACAGAGAAAAGACACAGGATCTTATATTGATCTCTTTTATCATTGGCTTTCATGCACTTGGCAGTTAATCATCGGAATTAGAGAGATAAACACTTACTTTAATATCCTCTCTTGGATATATTGTCTTAATTTGACTGTCTGTGCTTACTGTTCAACCATCTCTCAATATGAAAGGACGTTTTGTATTAGGCTACATTAACCCCCTTATGCCAAAAATGTTCCAGTTCCAAACTAAATACAGCCAGGATAAGGCAGGTTATCAGGACAGGTTGTGTACCAACAGTAACTTGACCATGTTGAGTCAGGATGCTGAAGTAGTCCGGGGGAACCAATTTTGGCAGGGGGTCCTCCCCAGAACATTATATAAAAAATAAGAAATAAAGCATTTCTTTCATTTTAATATCAAATAATTTCTGGGTAACAATTAAGTACCTTACTGTAACAGTTTTCCATGAAAGTGGTCAAAAAGAAACAAAAATAGTTTTTGGGCAAAAAACTATTTCTCAAGCAAGAATGTTGCTAGGCCTGTCTGGGAGTGGTCTGAGTGAGGAGGGGAAGGTGGTGCATTAAGCAAAGTGGTGCATTAACCACAGTTTTCCTAATGAGAGGAAACTGTAGCCCTAACCTGAAAACTAGCTGTTGTTGGCAGAGATGTTTGGAACTGGTCTATTAACTTATATGCAACTCCACCCATGCAAAACCTGCTGATTAAAACGTCCTGGGTTGATTGTATTTTCAACCAGCAACTATCAGGAAATAACAGCTGAAATGATCAGCTGTTGTACAATATGATACAAAATTTGATATGATACTGAATTTACACTGCATTGGGACTTTAAGAAGGTTTGCCATCATAGGAAATACAACGGGTGTGAACATTTTTAGCAATTACATTTCAGCCTGAAAGCATTTTTTGTTCAAAATTAAATAAACTTTATTTGGTTGGCTTGACACTTTATATACACTGAACAAAAATGTAAACGTAACATGCAACAATTTCAAAGATTTTACTGAGCTACAGGACAGGGAATACAGATATGCATCTGTTGCTAACAGATACCTTTAAAAAAAAAAGTAGGGGCGTGGATCATAAAATCTGTCAGTATCTAATGTGACCACCATTTTCCTCATGCAGTGTGACACATCTGCTTCGCATAGTGTTGATCAGGCTGTTGATTGTGGCCTATGGAATGTTGTCCCACTCCTCTTCAATGGCTGTGCAAAGCTGCTGGATATTGGCGGGAACTGGAACAAGTTGTCGTACACGTTGATCCAGAGCATCCCAAACATGCTCAATGGGTGGCATGTCTGATGAGTATGCAGGCCATGGAAGAACTGGGACATTTTCAGCTTCCAGGAATTGTGTACAGATCCTAGCGACATGGGGCCGTTTATTCTCATGCTGAAACATGAGGTGATGGCGGCGGATAAATGGCACAACAATTTGCCTCAGGATCTCGTCACGGTATCTCTGTGCATTCAAATTGCCATCGATAAAATGCAATTGTGTTCGTTGTCCGTAGCTTATACCTGTCCATACCATAACCCCACCGCCACCATGGGGCACTCTGTTCATGTTGACATCAGAAAACCGCTTGCCCACACGACACCACACAAGCTGTCTGCCATCTGCCCGGTACAGCTGAAACCGGGATTCATCCATGAAGAGCACACTTCTCAAGCGTACCAGTGGCCATCGAAGGTGAGCCTTTGCCCACTGAAGTCGGTTACGATGCCGAACTGCAGTCAGGTCAAGACCCTGGTGAGGATGACGAGCACGCAGATGAGCTTCCCTGAGATGGTTTCTGACAGTTTTGCAGAAAATCTTTGGTTGTGCAAACCCACAGTTTAATCAGCTGTCCGGGTGGCTGGTCTCAGACGATCCCGCAGGTGAAGAAGCCGGATGTGGAGGACCTGGGTTGGCGTAGTTACACATGGTCTGCGGTTGTGAGGCCGGTTGGACGTACTGCCAAATTCTCTAAAACAACATTTGAGGCGGCTTATGGTAGAGAAATTAAGTTTAAATTATCTGCCAACAGCTCTGGTGGACATTCCTGCAATCAACATGCCAATTGCATGCTATGTCAAAACTTGACACATCTGTGGCATTGTGTTGTGTGACAAAACTGCACATTTTAGTGTGGCCTTTTATTGTCCCCAGCACAAGGTGCACCTTTGTAATGATCATGCTGTTTAATCAGCTTCTTGATATGCCACACCTGTCAGGTGGATAGATTATCTTGGCAAAAGAGAAATGTTCACTAACAAGGATGTAAACAAATTTGTGCACACAATTTGAGAGAAATAAGCTTTTTGTGCATATGGAAGACTTTGGGGATCTTTATTTCAGCTAATGAAACATGGGACCAACACTTTACATGTTGCGTTTATATTTTTGTTCAGTATATATTTAGTTTGCCCCCTCAATACTTTACAGTAGACACTATAGTGTGTGTCTGAGTGTCGCCCTCGCCCCCGCTGTGTCAGAGACTCACATGTTGATTCCCTCCACACAGAGCTGACGCACCCCTTGGCTGAAAAGACTACCGGTAATCACAATCATTATCAGACTTTAAATACCGCTATCACAATTCTCTGCAATTACTATTGAATTCCTGTCACTCTGTGTATATACAGTATTTTAAAAAAAATGTTATTATTATTATTTTTTAGGGGGTAGATCAGCTTTAATATTGCCGATAGATTGTAACTTCCATCAATGTAATTGTCTGCATCACTTCCAATCCCCCATATGTTTTTTTTTCTCGCAAATATATATACATACATACACATACATACATACATATACATACATATACATATCCTTTTTTAAAATATATTTCCCTTTATTACTTTCCAACCCCACCACCCCTTCCCTAATTGGAGTAAACTAGTGAACAATAATGCTTAGGCGTCTACTTCCAGCTTATACAGTGCCTTGCAAAAGTATTCATCCCCCTTGGCGTTTTTCCTATTTTGTTGCATTACAACTTGTAATTTAAATGGATTTCTATCTGGATGTCATGTAATGGACATGCACAAAATAGTCCAAATTGGTGAAGTGAAATGAAAAAAATAACTTGTTTCAAAAAATTATACAAAATAAATAACGGAAAAGTGGTGCGTGCATATGTATTCACCCCCTTTGCTATGAAGCCCCTAAATAAGATCTGGTGCTACCAATTACCTTCAGAAGTCACATAATTACTTAAATAAAGTCCACAATCTAAGTGTCACATGATCTGTCACATGATCTCAGTATATATACACCTGTTCTGAAAGGACCCAGAGTCTGCAACACTACTAAGCAAGGGGCACCACCAAGCAAGCGGCACCATGAAGAGCAAGGAGCTCTCCAAACAGGTCAGGGACAAAGTTGTGGAGAAGTACAGATCAGGGTTGGGTTATAAAAAAATATCTGAAAATTTGAACATCCCACGGAGCACCATTAAATCCATTATTAAAAAATTGAAAGAATATGGCACCACAACAAACCTGCCAAGAGAGGGCCGCCCACCAAAACTCACGGACCAGGCAAGGAGGGCATTAATCAGAGAGGCAACAAAGAGACCAAAGATAACCCTGAAGGAGCTGCAAACCTCCACAGCGGAGATTGGAGTATCTGTCCATAGTACCACTTTAAGCCGTACACTCCACAGAGCTGGGCTTTACGGAAGAGTGGCCAGAAAAAAAATAAGCAAACACATTTGGTGTTCGCCAAAAGGCATGTGGGAGACTCCCCAAACATATGGAAGAAGGTACTCTGGTCAGATCAGACTAAAATGCTATGTCTGGCACAAACCCAACACCTCTCATCACCCCGAGAACACCATCCCCACAGTGAAGCATGGTGGTGGCAGCATCATGCTGTGGGGATGTTTTTCATCGGCAGGGACTGGGAAACTGGTCAGAATTGAAGGAATGATGGATGGTGCTAAATATAGGGAAATTCTTGAGGGAAACCTGTTTCAGTCTTCCAGAGATTTGAGACTGGAACGGAGGTTCACCTTCCAGCAGGACAATGACCCTAAGCCTACTGCTAAAGCTACACTTGAGTGGTTTAAGGGGAAACATTTAAATGTCTTGGAATGGCCTAGTCAAAGCCCAGACCTCAATCCAATTGAGAATCTGTGGTATTACTTAAAGATTGCTGTACACCAGTGGAACCCATCCAACTTGAAGGAGCTGGAGCAGTTTTGCCTTGAAGAATGGGAAAAAATCCCAGTGGCTAGATGTGCCAAGCTTATAGAGACATACCCCAAGAGACTTGCAGCTGTAATTGCTGCAAAAGGTGGCTCTACAAAGTATTGCCTTTGGGGTGGGTGAATAGTTATGCACACTCAAGTTTTTTTGTCTTTTGTCGTTTCATCTTCAGAGTGGTAGGCATGTTGTATAAATCAAATGATACAAACCCCCCCAAAATCAATTTTAATTCCAGGTTGTAAGGCAACAAAATAGGAAAAATGCCAAGGGGGGTGAATACTTTCGCAAGCCACTGTAGATACTATATACATTTTATGGACACAGTCAATTTTACAATAATTCTATTTTGTTTGTTTTTACTCCTGAACTTATTTTACCTTCACCCTCTCCGATCATTTTCATGATGTATATACAGTATTACATTCAACCCCAAATGTAGTGCCACGCATTTAGGATTACTTTTCTATATTTTATGTACAGTATTGTGTGATGTCTTAAAGGTATTATAAAGTGATTGAAATATGGCGGTAGAGAATGAATCTATCTCCCAAGCATTGCATTACAAGACCATAATGTGCATATTATACTAGATACACTATATATACAAAAGTATGTGGACACCCTTTCAAATTAGTGCATTAGGCTATTTCAGGGGGTATAATGGTCTGGGGCTGTTTTTCATGGTTCTGGCTAGGCCCCTTAGTTCCAGTGAAGGGAAATCTTAACGCTACAGCATACAATGACATTCTAGACGATTTTGTGCTTCCAACTTTGTGGCAACAGTTCGGGGAAGGCCCTTTCCTGTTTCAGCATGACAATGCCCCCGTGTACAAAGCGAGGTCCATATAGAAATGGTTTGTCGAGATCGGTGTGGAAGAACTTGACTTGCCTGTACAGAGCCCTGACCTCAACCCCATCGAATACCTTTGGGATGAATTGGAACGCCGACTGCGAGCCAGACCTAGTCGCCCAACATCAGTGTTCGCAGTCGGCGTCCCAATTCATCCCAAAGGTATTCGATGGGGTTGACTTCACTAATGCTCTTGTGGCTGAATGGAAACAAGTCCCCGCAGGAATGTTCCAACATCTAGTGGAAAGCCTTCCCAAAAGAGTGGAGGCTGTTATAGCAGCAAAGGTGGGACCAACTCCATATTCATGCCCATGATTTTGGAATGAGATGTTCGACGAGAATGTGTCCACATACTTTTGGTCGTGTATTTTGAGTTTTGAAAGGCTTTACATGGTTGCATGAATATGTTCAAGTGTAATCCCAATACTCAAAATACACTACATGACCAAAGGTATGTGGACACATTCTCGTCGAACAACTTTGTTGCCACAAAGTTGGAAGCACAAAATCGTCTAGAATGTCACTGTTCTGGGAAGGCTTTCCACTAGATGATGGAACATTCCTGCGGGGGACTTGCTTCCATTGATGGAAGGGAGCGATGAAGGGAAGGGAGGAAAGCTAGAGGAGGAATGGAGGAGGGAGGAGGACTAAGGAGGGGAGAGAATTAACAGATTTAGTGCCATCTCTGTCTGGGAGAGGAGCCAAAGAATCGACCACCTTAATCCCTTCATCCCTCTTTAACTCTGTCTCTGTCTACTCTCTGTCTCACTGTCTCTCTGTCTCTCTGTCTCTCTGTCTCTCTCTCTGTCTGTCTGTCTCCCCCTGTCTTTTCTTTGTGTGTCTGTGTTTTTGTCTATTCAGATTAGTATTTTTAAGGCCTATGTTTGTGTGGCTGTTCAGATCCATCCCTGTAGCCTTCTGTATACTGGTGAAAGGTTGTACTCATTAAGATCCAGAGCCATTCTCTAACTGGCACATAGAATTCTCCTGGGAGGAGATGGTCGGCTAGGGTCATTCATATATTCAGGTGGAACTAATGGTCATTTGTGGTACAGTAATTGCTGTTATCTGCAAGTATGCGAATTAAAATGAAGAGTGGTTGCCATGGCAAAAAAATTGGAAAAGGTGAGTTGCAGCACACAGTAGCTCATCTGTGATGAATACACACAGTATTTCACTACGGTCCATAGACCAGGTACGGATATTCAGAAATTAATTGTAGGGACATTTTAGAATCAAGAGAAATGAAATTATGAGCCTACACATCTAATAGAAAATATGTTAAAACATGTCAAACGTGATTAACATTGGACTGTGGTAAATAACCATTGATCTGTGTGGGGTATCGACACTTCAGGTAGGGGGGTGAAGCAATAGTCATTGGGGAGGGGGATGGGGCTACTGACAGCTTATGTCTACATTAAAGACGCTTTATTAAAGCGTGGGTATCTGTTAATCTGACACCAGTTACAGAAGCAGAATCAGCTCTCTAATCCATTGACTAGCCTGATAATCCCACTCACAACGAGACCTCACTCATGAAGTAAACAAGTAAACACACAGACAGCTGTTCAAACTGATGCCAGACAGCTCAGTCATGGTACTGGCACAATGCATAACCTTTTTAAGCATTGGTAACTCTCACGTCTAAGAAGTGGGGTGAAATCGATTCATCATAATTGGAATCTACCCATAATACTGTCTGTGAGAAAAGGGGAGGGATGGGTGTGGGAGTGAAGGAGGGAGGCTTAAATTGGCAAGATACAGTGGAGCTTAACAGTTGAAGTGGTGGATTAGATCACTTTTACAATAATACTGAGATTAGACACAGACACACAGGGGAGGGATGGAGATGGACGATAAACAACTGTTGCATCAGTGAATAATTGGTGATACATTTTCAGAAAATAAAGAACTAGAAGAGGAGAACAAATTGCAAAAACTAAAGGGAAACCATTAATTATTTGTGGTAGAACATTATCTGACTGTGTACCTGACATTTACCTGTGTTTCCTGTGCGTCGTTTTCCAGTACAATGTTTTCTTCAATATTGTTATGGGCACAGGATATAGTAGGAGAGGGATGGACTGAGAAAAATACATAATAACGGCATAACAGAGGCATAATAAATAATAATAAACAGTCATTTCCATGTCTAAAATAAGCAGAAGAATGGGTCAGGCTATACTGCGAGCATGGGAGGTGAGAGAGTGGAGAAAGATCCTGTGAGGGAGGGGCCCCCTTATGAGGTGAGACGTGTAAGCCTGCTGCGTGTAACAGAGTTAGTCAGGATTAGGACATGTATCTGTGGGATCAGGGGGAGTTAGAGGGTCCCTCCAGACCATAACCTCACACCATCTGTCTCAGTCAGTGCCCTGCCCTGCTCAAAAACAGGCCAGGTCGCTCTTTTACTCCCTCAGGTCCCTCTCCTCCATTCTCCATTTTCTCTACTATTCTTTTGACCCTTTGACCCAGGACAGGAGCTGTTTTATCGTATTAGGGTAAACAAACTGGGGTGACTGTGGGGTCAGCGCTGTGCTGAGGGGTTGGGGTGCGTTACTGGCTCTGTGGCAGGAAGAGCAATCTGCTCGTGTGGCTAATTATTGCCCATGGCCGAAGCCTGGCCCTCTGCTCAACCACACGACACAAAGAGCAGTGAAATACATATTATACATATTACACTCAAAACTGTATATGCCGAACAGAGTATGATTATTACAGTTACTCGTGTGGATAGCAGCTCAGACTGCTCAATTTTCAGTGACTCAATAGAGAAACCATAAGTGGCTCTAAAGAAAAACTTTGCTATCATAATTTCAGAGGGGTGTAGCAGCATCCCCTCTGAAAGTTAGCCAGCTGACATTGATAAACATGCAGATATAGCCCTACATTTTCCGGTTAAAAATGGGAAAATGTTATATGGGTTGTTGGGAGTATTGAGTCAGTTACCATTTAAATCTCTTCATACATTCATAAAATATGAGGTTATTTAAGGATAGCTGGCTGACTTATTGATGATAAATCACTGTATCCAACCATTGCTGCGGTAGACTGCCTGGAGGTGAGGAATCGGAGCATCTGAATGGTAGCACAATGTTTTGAATCAGCTGAAGGAATAGAGAAAATTGATAGCATCACTCTTTCCAAGCACTGCTGGAGTAGAGCTGGGATGGATGGGGGTCTGCTGAATCATGATGCAAGTATTACTGTTCAGATGAAAGTGCTCAGAACAAGGGATATTACAAAGGAGAGAAAGATATATGTAGGTTGGTTATGGGCTGAAACAGAGTCAGCTATTGGGGTTTGTGTACGTGGTATTATACAGTACGTGAGTTGTGATGTCTGAGTTATGTTGATGAGTACACTACAAGTTTGCATTTCCTGCTGTGCAGAACAATTCTTAGCAACAAAATAGTGATCAAATTAAGATCTTGCATCTGTATTTGGCATGAAGAATGAGGTAAGTTCCTCTGTACCTCTCTTTGTCCATCAGACTCATGGGAGGCCCTGTTGGTTTAACCACTAAGCTTTCCCCCCGGAAACATAGATGACGGGAGATAGTGAGGGAGAGATAGAGGAAGAGGATTGTCTCTAGTAGGATTGTCTCTGGTGGCTGTACTTTCACCACAAGGCCCAATATCTGATTGATTAATAGACAACATCATTTAATGTTTGTGTTGGATAGAGTTAAATAACATGGCCTAGATAAAAATAAATGTTTGCGTGTCCTTTAGTTTTTGTGTGTGGGTGTCTGTGTGTGCATGCCTGTCTCAGTATGTATTGGTTTTGTTTACCCTCCAGATCAGATTTCAGCAGACAATATTAACTGACTGATTCCTTAACGAGACGTTATTAAGACACAGACTCCGGATGAACAAGTTTAGCTTTAGAGGATCATTAAAAAATGCTTGTTATGCGTTTCTCCGCTTGATGAATTTCAAAGCGGTAAAGAAAACTGAGATTACACTGTTTCTGAGGCTAATACCAAGAGACAAGAGGGTGTGAGGGGACATAGGGCAGGGACAGGCGAAGAACAAAGACATGGATCATGCCCAGATATTTTTATATCACTTGCCAGTGCCTTTGGTAACTTTGAGTTGATTATTTCATGTAGAAAGTCAAATAATTATTTGAAGAGAATTTACGTTATTTCCCCCTACTGCATTTACTCCACAAAACCGCATTTTATGATAATCCGATAGGTTCGTTCTTGAATTGAGATGGCATTTGCGTCCCTTGCCTTTGAAACACTTTAAAATTACAAATAGTTACACATCACATATGTTTTTGTTTATATTGAACTGTTTATCAATGACAAAACATTTTTCAAGTCCTTTATACTGCAAAACGGTATGTTTATGCATTGTTTAAAGTGCTTAGGGTAAGCAAATTGGCTTGTCCCAGTAGTGATGTGTAGAGTTATAGCGACATGTTTTTGTTATTTAGAAATATCTATCTATTATTTTAAATGCTAGAGAGTGAACAAAAGTATTTAATATATTGTATGGATCAATAAAAACAAAGAAGGCTATTAAAATACCTACTTTTTTTACTAGTATAATATGTGTCCCACAGTTTTATGTATTGGTGTAACTGCCTTGAAAATCACTAAATACAAAGATATACAAGGACCTTGAGCATTCTCTCCAGTGGGAAACTGTTATTGGGGAGAGGTCTATATTAAATACAATTATTAGTTAATCACACCCTTTTAGTATGTCATACATTTAAGTTTGTATGTCTAAATCCAAAGTGTCACTTGGTGTTAGCAAATTTAAAATGAAGGGAAATAACATTATGAGCATGATTAATCATATCACTTTAGTAAATTAATTTTAAAGGATTGATGACCTTAGATTTGAGAATTTCTGGCTTTCATTTCAGAAAATCCTAATTTATAATTGACCTATTGGTGTTACAATCATTGGTGTTACTACTCCTTCTGGTGGCACAATGTTATCATAATGGTAATTATTATTTAAAACCCTCCCGTTGATACTTTCTTTAAAGTCTCACTGCCTCCTTCTCACAAATGATCCCAAAAATATAAAAATTAAATAAAGTTGGTTCAACACAGTGGCGGGTCATTTTGACCCTAGGACAACGGGAGGGTTAAAGTCATTAAGCTACAATATTAGTTGATTTAGAATGGGAAGATGTACCCAAATAGATTTAAATAAAAAAAGATATATGAAAATGAAATTCATTTTTTCCAAAATGCCATGCCCAAATGCCACTGTAATTCAAGAACGACCAAATAGCTTCATAGTCCCTTCCCCAGATATCAGATAAAAAATGAATGAGAATGAACTCACTTAAATGACACATTGATAAGAAAGCATTAATAAGGTGACATCGTGACGTAGTGCCCGGATGTGCACACTCCTTGTGTTGTGACCACCTTACTCTTAGCATAGTTTACAATATGATCTGGCATGTGACAACCTGATGGGTTTAATATGTGTCTATGTGTGTGTGTGTGTGTGTGTGTGTCTGTGTGTGTGTGTGTGCGTGTGAGCGTGTGTTTGGTTTTACTATCCTTGTGGGGACCAGAAGTCCTCACAATGATAGTAAAACAAGGAAAATTCGGATAAGTGGGGAAATTTCGCCGGTCCCCACAAGGAAAAAGGCTATTTTAGGCTTAGGGTTAGGGTTAGAATTAGGGTTAGGGGTTAGGGGTTAAGTTTAGGGTTAGGGTTAGGTTTACAGGTTAGGGAAAATAGGATTTTGAATGGGAATCAATTGCTTAGTCCGCACAAGGATAGTAGAATAAACGTGTGTGTGTGTGTGCGCGCATGTGTAGAGAGAGAGAGAGAGAGAGAGAGAGAGAGAGAGAGAGAGAGAGAGAGAGAGAGAGAGAGAGAGAGAGAGAGAGAGAGAGAAATTTGAACCATGATTGCAGAGATCCATGGCTTTAGAGAATGGTTTATAAGGGTGAGAGAGAAGAGGGGAGCGTGACGAAGTGAGGGAGAGAGGGATTTGCAACAGAGAGGAGAGGGAGGGAGCAGTGATATTCAGTGACAGAGTACCATACACACTCACATGCGCACACACACTCTCTCTCTCTTTTTTTCGCTCTCTCTGTGTACGCGTTGTCTGTAAATCACTCATTCAGTTTAGTCACTGTTGTGGGGAAAATGGTGAGAGGACCTCCAAACCTATCATCCAATCTATGACCTACGGTAAGAATTTATTTTCAACCTGTCCATCTCTACACGTCCTTTTCTCATTCCCTCTCATCAGTCTCTCTTTTGGGGCTTTATCTTTCCCTAGTTCTATTCTACTTTTTTCTCTCTCTTTCCCCATGTCTCTCTTTCTTTCTGTTGGTTCTCTCTCCCGCTACTCTGGGCCGAAGCCAGATTGAGGCCTCTGCGGCGCCCCATCACAGTTTGCTCTCTCTCTGTCACGGTTCATTAGGGACATCAGGGGGTACAATTAATGTGTTGAGCATTGAAGTGGAACCAGTAGAAACATCTGTCTGACATGGGTTTTCATTATTAATTTGACATTAATGATGATGTTTATCATCAATATAATCAGTGCTGTTCCTAATTATTTGTTGTAGAAATAGTGGGTGATGGTGTCCTATACATTTTGTGGTTGTTGTTCCTGAATCCTATTTCAAATGTTTTTTATGAAAAAGTATAGTACTGTTTTTAGAAATAGGCACTTGTACATGATCAGACAGATTTTCAGTTTGTTTATGTATTTGTTTTGTGGTAATTAGACAACAGTTTAAGTTTCAAAATGTTCTAACATGAAAAGAAATCTAGAAAGATCGAGCATCTCTGTATGAGTTTAATATATTTTGATGTTCAGTGAATGTTGGGGAATGCCTTTGCTGTCTCCTGATGTAAGTCTGTTTGTTGTTTGTAATTAATATTTATTTATAAAATATTCAGATAAATTATCTGCACTGTATAAGTGTTTCTTAGTTCAACTTCCCTTAAGGAATAAAACAGCAGAGAAAAGTTACAGGTCTTCATTCAGTTGCAACCTTAGCTTTGAAACCATTTTTATGAATTGTATCGGATTTAAGACACTATTCAATCTGTATCATTGAAGCGACACAGATTGCGCAACAGACATTTTAAGGTAATTACGGATTCAGCCGACAAATGCAGCGTTTACCGTGAATGCAGTCTCCGCTAACGCAGGAACATTGCCTTTAAATGTAAATCACGCTGTAACAGGCCTTCTTAACTAGCACATGTATTTTGCCTTGCCACGCTAGCTTTGCCCTCATGTGGGTGCTAGCAAGCTAACAAGCATGCTAGGTACTGCTAGGTATAAACAGACAATTCAGCAGGGGCTTGAAGCTATAGTGAGCTTTGATTGGTTAATAGCGCCGCGACATCGCGTAGTATTTGCATAGAGTTCAGCTTTCCCCAAATTTGGTTCGGCTTTGTTCAAGCTCCCTCGCCAATGCTCGCGTCGCTCAACGGTCCCCCCGCCCACTTCGCATCCCTCCATTGAAAATGAATGGGGCTTCCATTGTTTCATCGCCCCCATCATTTTATATTAAAATGTACTGTAATGTGGAACTTCAGCGATACGGATTGAAAAGAGCCCTACATCTCATGGGCTTGGAAATCTCCTCTGTTATTGGGAATGCTAATGCTAGTGAATGCTTTTTGAAAAAGTGAAATGTACTTTGACTGGTTATGTTATGAAATGAATTATATGTCTTTCAATTAAGAACATTCTGAAGCTATGAGATGGGGTAGAAGTTATATTCTATTGCAGTTCATTATCTAGAGCAGGGTGTCCCAGACTTGGTCCTGGGGCCACCCCTGGGTGCACGATTTGGTTTTTGCCCTAGAACCACACAGCTGATTACAATAATCAAAGCTTGATGATGAGTTGGTTATGTTAATCAGCTGTGTAGTGATAGGGCAAAAAGAAAAGTGCACCCAGGGGTGGCCCCAGGACCGAGTTTGGGAAACCCTGATCTAGAGTGCACTGTGTTTGCTGGTTTGTCCTCGAAATTCAGATAGCATTGAAATGACAGACAGCAAGACACAGTGAAAAAGATTAGTGGGATTTGACTATGGTCAATTACTTCAGCATCACACAATTCCAGTCATGTGATGTTACACATGGTGTCAAAACAACAAAGTCTTCGGTGTATAATATGGGTATACCTATCTCTATTGTTTGATAAAGCCTATATCAGAGATTAGTCTTAGCTGCTTAATAGCATGTTTACTACTGGCATATAAGAGGAGTGTTAGTTATATAGTAAGGCAAGAATGTAAGAAGACGAATTTCTATAAAAAAAATATAATTGGTATCAGTGGGTAGATGTAGCACAGGTTGATATAGGAATATCCAAATCATGTTGATTTGTGTGTGCGGGGCCTAACATGAGCATGCACACCTATATCAGTGTGTGCGTGTGTGTGTGTATGGGAGACAATGGGGATCTGTTGAGGATTAGTCGCTTAATACTTCAACATACAAACAGACCATTGGACACATACTCACACTGGAGAATAGCACTACCTAACATACTGCTGTAAAATCACTTAATTGAGTGCACAGGGTGAGAGTCCTGATTTCTCTACTTTCTGGAAAGTTGCTATAATTGTTTTGTAACTAGTTTATTACTTCTACATGCTGACAAATTGTAAGACATATAGAAAGAGGTCTGGTGAAGAGGTAATTGGCAGTATGAAGTGTTAAATTCTGTTCTTCCGTCTATGGCCAGATTGTTGTTCTTGTGTTTGTTTCCCACATCCTGTAATCTTCTATGTCCTCTTGATGTTATCTTGACCTCAGTTCCTGTCTACCTAACACATAGAGATGACTTTGCACCAACTGTGAGAGAACAATCATCTATGCCATTTGCTCTCTCTCTGACAGGACCAAGAAGAAACACACAAGGACACAGGAAGACTGTTTTTTCCACAGAGGACAGTCGTCAGTCAGTCTATAACTGGACACCAGGGCTGTCTGAGAGACTGGAGGCATCAAGCCTGTTGTTGTGTATGGACTGCTGCTGCACTAAAATAGAGAGGTGGATTAACACTCAACCCCGACACACGGACAAACTCAGTCTGTTCCCAAAGCCGTGGCCATGTCGTCTCCCTCTCTCCCCATGCCCTCCCTCCCCCCCAGTCCACTGGCCATGGAGTACCTCAATGACTTTGACCTCCTCAAGTTTGAGGTGAAGCCTGACAGTCCTCCTCTTCCTCCCTCCTGTACGTTCCCCAAGTCCGGCCTCCCCCTCGAACCCTCCAGTTCCCCCGGCCCCTATACCAACCACCCTCCCCAGGACTCCAGCCTCAGCTCCAGCCCATACAACTCCCTGCCCCCCTCTCCAACGCTGAGCGATGCCCATCCACCTCCCTCAGCCTCCTCCTCCCTCTCCTCTTCCTCCTCCTCCATCTCCTTCCCCCTGTCCATCTCAAACAGCTACACCTCTGGCATCAGTTCTGGCTCTCAGGGGAATGTGGAGGGTAGCCCCTCCCATGGGGGTGCCCAGGGTCCTAACCCTGCCTCTTTGGAGGACCTGATCTGGCTGGCAGCGCTGCAGCAGCAGTTTGGAGGGGAGGCGGGGGGGCCTGCATCCCTGTTGGGGGCCTTGGGAGGAGGGCCAGAGCGGGGAGACAGAGAGAGGGGGCCAGTTGGCAGCTTCCTGGGCTGTGAGGACGCAGTGGAGGCTCTACTGAACTCAGCTGCTGCAGCTGTTAGCTCGCAGGTATGTAACACTGTCCAACTTGTCTAAGGATGTTGTTATTCACTTTTGATAGTGGGTTCGTAATAACATATATAGACTATAATTAGTGTTTCTATTTCTCTCTCTCAGTTCCCAGTGCTTTCCCAGAGTTCCAGCAGTAACCTTGGGGATTCAGGAAGTGACAGTGGAGGTGACATCTCCTGCTCCAAGGGGACAGATATGTGCCATCGTCCACTCCTCTACCTCTCCTCTGGCCCCCAATCACTCCCTAACACCAACCCTTCCTCAGCAACCTACCCACAACCCCAGAGCCCCTCTGGCCGACTTCATCACCATCATCATCATCATCACCACCCCATGCATGGCCATCATCATCACCATCATCATCACCTCCAAGTAATGAATGGGGTCAGGGGGCATGACAGTATGAAACAAAAGATGGTGGAATAACTGAGATAAGTGTCACTGGGGGAAGACTAGCAACAATAGCATAGTACTGGTTGGAGCAGGAGCATATGGGAGAGGGGAGGGAGAGGTGATAGAGGGATCATGCTGTAAGGGGTTGGGATTAAAAACAATTAGAACATGATTATGGGTGCATGCCGTGTACCTGCTATAAGTATAGAAAACATGCCTCGACACTGAGATGACAATGAGTTTGACTAAAGACCTTCCTTGTTTAAAAATTGCATTATTTGTCCTGCAGGCAAGTGCAGAATATTGAAGTAAATGTAATAAATGGAGAAATTGTTCTTCTTTTTAATAGATGCATGTACTTGTAATACATCAACATTGATAAATGACCTGTGTTAAAGCTAACGTTTACTAGGCTACATCAATAACTCCATGGTCTCCCCTGGCTGTGCTAGAGTTAACGGAGCTGTGTGTGGGGCTGCTAGTGCTGCTGTATATGGAAAGTTCAATACTGTTCTATAGCTGCATTCCCCATCCAGGTGTCTGAGAAAATCTCTATGTACAGTATGTGAAGCACAGTGTGAGCTTCTGATAATATCTGCTATTATTGCCGTGTATAATCCTGATTACTGTCACTCACACTCAGTCAGATTACCTGACAGATTATGGACATGTGCTGCCAAAATGTCCCCCCTGACACAAACAGTTAGGCACATTCTCATCACACATATGCACAACTCAGACACACACAAACAATCACATAATCATTCTTAAATAGACGGGCAGACTGTAATCTCGTATCAGTATTATAGGCCTACTTATAACTAGTACACTATACTAGCTCCATCATATTTCCTACTATATATAATTGTAAATCAGTCAAAATGTTTAAAGTCCTCTCCACAACTGTAATTCATGTCAATATTTGAAGTAACCATGTCTCTCTACCTCTCTCTGTGTGTGCAGTGTGGTGGGGTGGATGAGCGTTTCTCAGACGAGCAGCTGGTAAGCCTGTCGGTGCGGGAGCTGAACAGACACCTGCGTGGCGTCAGTAAGGACGAGGTGGTGCGGCTCAAGCAGAAACGTCGTACGCTAAAGAATCGAGGCTACGCCCAGTCCTGTCGCTACAAACGTTTGCAGCACCGCCACGCACTGGAGTCCGAGAAACACGTCCTCACACAACAGGTAGGACACACACACACAATAACAACAACACACCACTGTCAACAACTCCAAAATAAAAGCTCTAAGAACTCTCTAATCCCTCTGTCTCTCTACTGTCTGTCTCTCTCCTGTCTGTCTCTCTCCTGTCTGTCTCTCGCCTGTCTGTCTCTCTCCTGTCTTTCTCTCTCCTGTCTGTCTCTCTCCTGTCTGTCTCTCTCCTGTCTGTCTCTTTTCTGTCTGTCTCTCTCCTGTCTGTCTCTTTTCTGTCTGTCTCTCTAATCAGTTGGAACAACTACAGTGTGAGCTCTCTCGGGTGCTGAGAGAAAGGGACGCCTACAAGGCTCGCTATGAGAAGCTCATCAGTACAAACAAGGCTCCACCTACCCGCGCCAACAACTCCCCCTCACCACCCCCTGATTACTTCCTCTGAGGATATACCCAGGGAGGAGGACAGAAAAAGTGAGGGATGAGAGCGGTGTGTAAGAGGAGGTCAGCCTAAATAAGGCCGTCACTGAGTAATCAGACTTGGGGAGGAAGGGAGGAAGGGTTTGGTGTGTGTGTGCGTGTGTGAAGGTTGGCAGGCGGGTAGTGGGGTTAGGACTAGGCCCTATATGACTGTGAAATTAGCCCGCTGAGCAATTAGGTGGTACTTGACTGTTAACTAACGGTTAGAATCAGGCCCTATATTTCTTCATAAACAGGACTAATGGTGAAAATTTCAGTTTTGATATCACTGTGACGTTCATTATAGCACAAAGACTCAATGAGACATTTTCAGGATGCATCCTGCACTGGTGAAATCAGGGCATAAAGGACACAGGTCATCCTCAGACTGAGCAATGTGAAACCAAGGGCTTGTCTTCAATAAACAGCTCCATTGTATCATTCATCGCCCCTATCAACCGATCTATGCACATTTCTTTCAAGCACAACACATGAAAAGATGGAACTGATGTCCAGACAATGGTTGGGTTGAATCCATGCCCTGACAACACACTGACAACACCCAACACAGTGTGATGGTGTAGGTTAGCTGGGCTCATTGGAAACCCAAAGGTCTGAGTAGTGCAGTGGTACAGGATGTGTGGTGGTGTAGGATGATCTTCAAGTGTCCATGACATGCAGTTGTAATCACCAGCTAATATTTCACAGTTGCCTACCAATATGTTTCTGCTCACCAAGACTTGTTACTCACTATCACATTTTAAAGATGAATAATCATAGAAAAAGAATGTACAAGGATCATTTTCCTGCGAGTATTATTGTGGTTGTGCTAAATGAATAAAGAGATACACTCATGTATAGAATAGATGCATTTCGAAAAAGAATGCAAACGAATCCATACTTTGCTTGTTGAAAAAAAAACGTTTTGTCATAATGACAATGAAGAATATTTGCAGTGTGCTATCTGTGATTGGTGTTTCGTTTCAAGAGGATGAACGGATCTCCCAAGAGATCAGTTTACCCACTAAGACGTGAAGCAAGAGACTGTGGTTGATTTAGTTATTGTGGTCAAATTGGTCTGTACAAAGAAAATCCACAAAAAAGCAACAGAGTGCAAAATGATCTGTGTGACTGTATTGTCTTTAAACTTTAATATTACAATCTAGGGTGTGCTGAAAACACTTTTGTAAGAGAGCGACAACCATAATGCAACAAGCACCACAGAGCTGGACACTGTGGATTCTTAAAGACTGGGGTGAAATGCAAGAAAATGCAGACATTCAGAGACATCTCATGAAATGTTACCAGGGTAGCTACATTAGAGCTATTTGTTTTGGCTAGGTGTAGGTTAATTAATTGATTTATCTGTTTTATTTATTCACTTATTTATTCACAGTATTTATTCATTGTTTATTTATGTACCAATTCTTACTATTTACATTTTACTGGTTTACAATTTCTACAAGCTTAGTGTGAACCTTTATTTCTAAGCAGGATAAATCAAAAATTTTTGATTATTTTCAATAGTATGATTCCAATCATTATTGCCATCATGGCTTTTGCTCCTATTGTAGTGTGGTTTCCTATGAAATAAAGACAATATTTTTACCATCCTTGGTAGCTTTGTTTTTTTCCCACTATTTCTCAGAATTTCTCTCTTTGTCTCCGTTTCATTTGTGCTTTAAACACCTAGTAATCCCTCACTCTGTCCCTTCTCTGTCCCTCCCACTTTTCCAATCTCCTGTAGACCTGTTCTATTTACCTCCTCCCCTCTTCCATCTCTCTCTCCCTCTATCTCTCTGTCATTCTGTGTCCCTCTATAGAGAGGCAGTGACCCTGGCTGAGCACTGTTTGGGATGACCTCACCCTCGGCCCTGCCTCCCTCTCTGTGTCTCTCGCTCTCTCTCTGGCCTGTATAATAGGGAAAGGATTAGGGCTATAATAGCGCCCTGACTGCTCAATGCCGGAGTCCATTGTAGCATTGTGTGGAGAGGACGTACACAGAGTTACATGAACACTCACCCCACTCACAGTTACACACAGCCACTCACACTCACATTCAGGCAGGCACACAACACATATGTTAGAATACACACAGTTTACAGTGATGCGTAAATGAATTCACATTCGTACAATCTCAGCTAGCAAATATTTGAGGTGAAAATTGTAAATGTGTTTTTTTCCCTCTGTAAAATTATCTTTACAGACAGCGTGATAGAGAGAGATGGGAAAAAGACGCTAGCACTGGTGGACTTACCATTAGGCCGAAGAGGCAATTGCCTCAGGCCTCACATCATCAAGAGGCCTCATGAGTTGGGCATTGCAAAAAAAGTAATATAAAAATTATAAAAAATAATAATATAACAATAATTTCTCCACAATAATTTCTCTATCTGTTTAAGCTAGCGATATGTTTTTTTTGCATGGGCTGCGTCTCAATCCACGGCATCCGCCAATGTCGGCCTTCCGCATCTGCGGTGGAAGGGGGCAGAGCTACAGCAGATCAGGAGACACCTCGAAAATTGGTCTTCTCACGAAAACGTCTGTAGCGTCCGAACGGTTTGGCCAACAAATTAATATGACCCATCTATGGAAAGATGAGACTCTCATGAACATGCTATATGACCCCCACAAGTGTCATGGGACTCATCTGAAGGTAACTCGGTACTGTGCTGAAATATTAGCTTTTTATATAGCTTTTCAGATATAAGACAGACACTTCAAAACATACTTCCTTTTGATTACATTTTTGACTATTGGTTTTTCCATGTATGAATCTGTTATTCGATGCGTTTCTGTGGGCTAATACCAGTAAGGCCAAATCATTTTCATATATATTTATTTATACCTACAGGGGTCCTAAAATTCTAAATCAAATATCTAAATTATCCTTGGTATGACCACCTTAAAACAATTCCATGTTAGCTTAATAGTAGTCTCGCATTGCCATACATCCAAAATCACTTCGCTGTCATGCCTCCCTTGGAGGTCTGGAGAATTTTGTATTGCAAAAAGGTTTGAATGGTTCGCTGGGAGCGAATATTTGATTGGATGTTACATTTCAAGAATCCTCCCCCCAGTCCTGGCTATTCTGCCACCCTAGGCGAGATTTTTTTAAATGCCACCCCTACTAGAATAGTCCTAGTAAGCAAAATGACATTGAAAAGACATCTAAAATACTCATTTTTACAGATATTGAAGTTAGGTTCATTTTCGTTTCTGAATTAAAGTTGAAAATACGTAATTTATAGAAATCTATGTTTGGGCCAAATAAAGGCTGGTCCAGACCGGATAAAATCTGAACTAAACATAGAAGTCTGCACACAAAAAAGACGTCCAGTCCGGATAGGAACAAAAAAAAGATATACAGTTGAAGTCGGAAGTTTACATACACCTTAGTCAAATACATTTAAACTCAGTTTTTCACAATTCCTGACATTTAATCCTAGTAAAAATTCCCTGTTTTAGGTCAGTTAGGATCACCACTTTATTTTAAGAATGTGAAATGTCAGAATAATAGTAGAGAGAATGATTTATTTCAGCTTTTATTTCTTTCATCACATTCTCAGTGGGTCAGAAGATTACATACACTCAATTAGTATTTGGTAGCATTGCCTTTAAATTGTTTAACTTGGGTCAAACGTTTCGGGTAGCCTTCCACAAGCTTCCCACAATAGGTTTTGTCCCATTCCTCCTGACAGAGCTGGTGTAACTGAGTCAAGTTTGTAGGCCTCCTTGCTCGTACACACTTTTTCAGTTCTGCCCACACATTTTCTATAGGATTGAGGTCAGGGCTTTGTGATGGCCACTCCAATACCTTGACTTTGTTGTCCTTAAGCCATTTTGCCACAACTTTGGAAGGATGCTTGGGGTCATTGTCCATTTGGAAGATCCATTTGCAACCAAGCTTTAACTTCCTGACTGATGTCTTGAGATGTTGCTTCAATATATCCACATAATTTTCCTTCCACGTGATGCCATGTATTTTGTGAAGTGCACCAGTCCCTCCTGCAGCAAAGCACCCCCACAGCATGATGCTGCCACCCCCGTGCTTCACAGTTGGGATGGTGTTCTTCGGCTTGCAAGAGACCTCCTTTTTCCTCCAAACATAACGATGGTCATTATGGCCAAACAGTTCTATTTTTGTTTCATCAGACCAGAGGACATTTCTCCAAAAAGTACAATCTTTGTCCCCATGTGCAGTTGCAAACCGTAGTCTGGATTTTTTATGGCGGTTTTGGAGCAGCGGCTTCTTCCTTGCTGAGCGGCCTTTCAGGTTATGTCGATATAGGACTTGTTTTATTGTGGATATAGATACTTTTGTACCTGTTTCCTCCAGCATCTTCACAAGGTCCTTTGCTGTTGTTCTGGGATTGATTTGCACTTTTCACACCAAAGTACGATCATCTCTAGGAGAAAGAACACATGTCCTTCCAGCTGTGTGGTCCCATGGTGTTTATACTTGCGTACTATTGTTTGTACAGATGAACATGGAACCTTCAGCCGTTTGGTAATTGCTCCCAAGGATGAACCAGACTTGTGGAGGTCTACAATTGGCTGATTTCTTTTGATTTTCCCACGATGTCAAGCAAAGAGGCACTGAGTTTGAAGGTAGGCCTTGAAATACATCCCCAGGTACACCTCCAATTGACTCAAATGATGTCAATTAGCCTATCAGAAGCTTCTAAAGCCATGACATCATTTCCTGGAATTTTCCAAGCTGTTTAAAGGCACAATCAACCTAGTGTATGTAAACTTCTGACCCACTGGAATTGTGATACAGTTAATTATAAGTGAAATAAGTGTATACAATTGTTGGAAAAATAACGTGTGTCATGCACAAAGTAGATGTCCTAACCGACTTGCCAAAACTATAGTTTGTTAACAAGAAATTGGTGGAGTGGTTGAAAAACTAGTTTTAATGACTCCAACCTAAGTGTATGTAAACTTCCGACTTCAACTGTACAAAAAAGGCATCCGCGTCAG